GCTGAATGGGTTTTAGGCTGTTTTCAAAGTGAAACAATATTATATAAGCAGGAACCTGGTTTATATGTGAATGTATCTCTTGATTTATGTGAGTAATCTCTTGCCAAAACAACTTCAAAAACCTTGACTGTGGTATAGAAAACAAAAGCAATGGAGCACAGTTTAACCATCTGTTCTTGTTATATTTAGCTGTGTTTTCAAAACTACTTGCTATCCCTCTGGAAATATGTTTAATCCCAAAGTCATATGAGCTTTAGTCACAATCTTTGATAAAGGCCTTTAGAATCACAGTGAAAGAAAGTGTGTGGGGTGTGATCGCTTATGATTAATAACTGTGAACCTGCTATACGTGATGTATTGCCCGCAGAGCAAAACAGAAACTATTACAGCAACTAAAATCAATCCCCATAGAATGATGAATAATGACCTTTCGGCGTAACTACTGGATGCAGTGCAATGTAAATATACGAGTAGCTGTGGATTCATAAATATGTGTCCATAACCACACTGCACATATGTGATATTATCTTCAAAATCTGATGATACAAAACTTTAACATTCTTAATAGATTTTGACTTTTTAGAACTCAGTAAGGAGAAATTATACTTTTGCAAACAAAAAAAGAAACTATGATCATTATTTGAGAGGCTAAAGTGTGTGAGTGGAATCCCAAATATGTGGCAGAAAACCTTCATTCACTTTCAATGTCTTTGAAGAAATTTATTTTTGCTAATATGTTGATAGAATACATGTGAAAATAAATAAAACCTATTTTCTTACCTCTTTCTAAGTAGCACTTCTTCAAGATGCTTTAAAATAATGTCTCTGCTAAGTGTATGTGCTGTCTCACATGTGACAGCTTTGTTTCACACCACAAAATATATTGGTCAAGCTACAATTACAATTCCTCCAGCCAGTGAGTAATGAAATAAGGAATGGTGTAAGTCCAAGTGGAAAGTCCAAGCTCCTAACTCTAGTTTGACAGAATGACTGAGAAATCAATAGGATGACAAATGATCAACAATGCTAAAGGTAAGATTCATGAGATGGATAGATCTGATGTTCCTTCCTCTAATCCTTCATAAAATGTAACCACGATGGGGAGGGTGGCACACTTTGTGTCTGCTTAAAGGCACCATGTGCCTTTAAAGGTACATAATTTGTCAAACCTTCTTTGGCATTTGAGAAATGTCACAAAAAACTGATAGCAGTTTGAAAAACATTGGAAGGAAATTGTATTATGGATTCCATTTCAAATAGACTTTTTGAAAGAGTCAAACAATTTTTTTTGTACTGTTTGCATACTGCTGCATTATGTTAGCACTGGGTTCGATTCCCAACCCTGGTCTTTCTGCATGGAGTTTGCATGTTTACAGTAGAAATAGAATATTTGGGCTGGTGCTGAACAAATTCAACGCATTTAATCTCCATGTAGGTCCTATGACGTCCAGTAGAGGTCAGTCTTGCAAGCACAGAGTTATTACTAAGGAAAGCTCTCATGGTTTAGTCATAGCAGGTCAAGTGTTATGTAAGCTCTCTACATGATAAATGAACTTTATATTCACCAAACAATAATGTTTGTTTTTTTGTTTGTTTGTTTGTTATACACTTCTTTTTTGAAGTTTGTGGTATGAAAGTGAAACTTATCTAATTGCATCTCTGTGAATTACAGTTTGGCTATTTTTAAGTTTTGTCTTTAAGATCCTAATGAGTGTTCTCCTTCATTAGAGTAGCACACACTGTGAGTTATGCTTTGAAATCAAATCACGTTTTATGATTAGAAAAATGTCTATTAATTTCAGTGCCTTCAAATCTTATTTATTTTTATTAAATTCATTTTATTTTAGATTTTATTGCATACATTCTTCACTTCATTCTTTTATATTTTATATGTATGTTTTAGGTTTTTTAAACTTTGTATTCATACATTATATTTATTTCCTGTTTCCTCACTAAACAAAATGATTACATTTTTTCCACTCTATTCTGTATAATTTCTATTTCTGTTTTTTTTTATTATTATTATTGTTGTATTTGCTTATCATTTATGGTGCATCTTTATACATATTTAAATAATTTTGAGTACTTTGTGTAAAATTTGATTTTATGCAATGTGCTTTACAATGATTGATTGATCGATTCCTTGATTGTAGTATTGACCTAATCATGAACTGAGAATTGTGTCAGAAGCTCGAATTCAGAATTTGGCCAATATTTAGTTTGGTCATGTTTTACAGCAAATGCAGATCTGTAAAAACTAACTGAGAATGTCATCGACAGATTCTTTCCTTCTTGCAGCAGTCCATATGTGGTACACCTCGGACATGCAAGGCTGCTGACAGCAGAGCACAAGAATTGCAGCCCCCCAGGACAGAAAAGGACACGGATGGCTATAGTTGTCCCTAAACAGGAGGGAAAATGTTGTTCTTTATTCTAATCATCGCTTAAAAATTTCTATTTGCTTGTCCCCTGATTCTGTGAAAATGGTGGTGGTGGGGTTTCCATGAGGAGAATAAATGTGGTAATCAGTTGTTATAGTTGTATGCTCTTCCTACAGCAGGTCACAATTTTCTGCCATGCAGCCCGCTATAATTGCCCTGTTTGTGAGCAAGGCCTGATTATTTTCTGTCCGAGAGAAATATCTGAATTAAAAACTTCAGCAGATGCAGTTGCTCACATATTCCTTGTAATACAGTAACAACTACGAGATAACATTAAAAAATGGACAATGGTGCAGTTTAGGAGCATGTAGGATTATTATCTCTGTTTTAGCCAATCAGATTTGGAGCAAAGAAATATGGACAGTGAATAAGCATGGCATGCTATTATCACAAATTTTATTGTTTCCTTGCACAGTGACTAATATCCTTTCCAACCTCTCCACCTCATCACAGTCTTTCTCTCTAATGAGCTGTGGTATGCTATCAGTCATTACAGGAAGCCAGATTATCCAAATGGCATTCTGCACACGTTCACAGAGAACTTCCTGAAGGTGACCTTTCCGCGTCGCCATAGAAACCCCCTCTCTGTGCATGGAGTAGCTCAGCTTGTTCACAGAGTGAGACACTGAAGGAGAGTGATAGCAGAACCTTTTCTGCAAAGGAAAGCGCATTGATCTGGAGAGATGTAACAATGTAGGGACATGTGTAGTGATGCTGGCAAATAATCCTTTCATCTGTAATCATTTTGTCCACAACATGTGGTTTTAGACAGGAAATGTTTATGTTTTGAATTCAATGAAAATGTTAAAATAAGGAGAATGACATGAGCATTGTGGGTTCATTGTGTGCATCAATTTTAAACAAGCTTGTGATGCAAATGCTTATGTATGTCAATAATGTAAACCTTGGTGAAAGTATTTTCTCACAATTTAACCGCTTTCATTATGTATTTTCATGAAGTGTGACTTCAGCCCATCCTACGTACAGCTAAAAAATAATATGCACCTTCAAACAGTGCAACAGTGGTCATTCGCTTCTCACCATTGAGATAACATGATACAAGTCACATTGATTTGGTTATTGCTTCATTTGTATATAGGGAAATATTGCAAAGTTTGTTGAAATGCCTTGTTGCTGAAATGTGCTATGCAAATAAAATTTGATTTGATTTGAATGGAACATTTTCTGTTTTTCTGTAAACCATGTTAAATTATCAACTTATTCTGTCTGGTATTTTGAAAAGATCATAGTGTGTGAATTCATTTGATATTACTCACAATGACAGAATAGCTCATTTAAACTTTTGTGTCTATTAAATGCTTTGTTTTGTCCCCCAAACCTCTGAAACACTAGTGCCACTGTCACCATGAGTTTTATTTATTTATTTTTAAGCAGTAGGGCCTGAACCTGTTTGTGTTTGCAATGAAAATAGTGCACAGTGGGATTTCATCAGAAAAGTGGGAATCTCTTATGTAGGCCTATGAGACGGCATTTACTTTGCAACACCACAATGTACGACATCAATCGCTTTTCACTGTTCCATCTGGGATTTTTCCGATTGAAATGGATTCTTCCAGTAGAAGAGAAGAAATTTTGAACAGTGACGTTGATTTCCTGCACTGTTTTAAATTTGCATCTGCAATGTCAGTGGTGGAAGTGAACAAAGTCATTCAGTCCATGTTGGCCACAAGAGCAGTCATCTCTTTCTGCTCAGCACTTCTCTCTTTACGGTGGAGGATGGTTGTTTACAGCACGGACAATTTCCGGTAAACTTCATAGCATCAAACTGCCGCATTACATATGTCACGGGCAAATGTTAGCGATTGGGTAACCTTTAAAGCACAGGTGTCAAAGTGGAGGGCCATTGCTCTGTAACTTAAATGTGCCTCTCCTGCACCACACCTGAATAGAATAATTAGGTCATCAACAAGGCTTTGGAGATATTATCTACACAAGAAGGAGGTAAATAAGTCATTTCATTCCAGTGTTTTGTACCTGTGGCACATCTAAACACTTCAGGACACTGGCCCTAGAGGCCTGGAGTTTGACACCCCTGGTTTAAAACTTCAACAGAATCCATGCCTCCAGAAAGAAATCTCTTCTCAAAAACTAATGATGTCTAGACCTGGGGTGCTCAAGTCCAGTCCTTGAGAGCTACCATCCTGCAACTTTCAGATGCATCCCTGCTCCAACACACCTGAATCAAATGAATGGCTCGTTACCAGGCCTGTTTAGAGCTGATCCCAGTCTCTTGGAGTAAGGAAGTTGCAGGATGGTAGCTGTCAAGAACTGGACTTGAGCAGCCCTGGTCTCGATACTCAAAAAGAAATGCCCAGTAGAGAGGTAATTTCTGAATGTCTAGTGGTACCCACCGAATATTAAAAAATAAAATAAAATAGTGTCTGTCTGTCTAGATATCTATCTATCCATTCATAAAACTATCTTCCTTTCCTCCCAACCCTCCCGCCTAGTTATTTATACTCACCGATGAATCATATGTTGTCATGGAGGTTACGCCTGCGCAGTAGACAACGTGAAAATCTGAATCATCGACGGCAAGCAAGGGAGGGAGAGAAGGGGGGTAACGTAGAGTGATGGGACCCGACTGAGGAAACAGCAGCGAGCGATCACTCTCTGAGCTGGTAATGAAAGGTACATTTATTGTCGTTGTTTTTCTTTTATGGTCTAGTTTTGTATTCATGGAAGTGTAAACACAGAGGTGGATAACTGAATCTTTGGAGTCGGAGTCAAAGGTGCCGTCCGCGATGTGCGCGTCATAAAGGTTAGCGGCTTTACTTTGGACAAAATTGCAGAGCAAGCGCTGCTTCGAAATGTGTGTTGATTCGTGCTGTTTGTCCTCGAAGGGTTGCGAATGTTTTGGCCTGCAATCAAGTGAACTAAAACTTCAATTTAAAAGGTCTAATTGATTGCTTAAAAAAAAAAAGAGATTCGATTCCCGGTCGGACTTACTTCGATGCAAAGTTCACGTTTTGTAAGTTGAATTGGAAAAAAAAAAAAAAAACGTGCTGTGTGTCTGTTTTCAGTCTGGCGTCACACATTACGTCTGTATGTTTCCCTGCTGCTGCTGAGGGGAGCTTGACGATAATGGCGTTCAGCACCACAGACAGCTCCAGGCTGAGTGGCTCACACAGCTTGTTGAACGCAAGGATACCACAGCTGCTCGGAATAGGCGTCTTCACGTAGTTGTCACATTATTGTTTACGATTCTTTTGGTGTGTTTTAGCACTTATTCCTTTCTTGGTCTGGAGTTTTCTTCTTTCTTCCATTTTTTTTTTTTGCAACTGTAGTTTTTGGTACGTTTTGTACCTTAACTTCTTCAGTAAGAAGCGTGTCAAAGTACGACCCCCCCCACCCCCTAAAAAAAAAAAAAAAAAAAAAAAACTTGATAATGTTTCCAATCCCGCATTTTCATTTAAAGTGCAGCTTTAAAATGACTGAAAGAAAATCAAAATAAATGCTGCTCTCTATCATTACGTCCTGATGCTTCACACCCATTTTAACACCTATTTTAACTATTTCCACCCCTGTTAGGATGAACAGAATATAGGTTAAACAGTATTATAATCAACATATGGTCTTCCTATGGTTATGGTCTTTCTTCACAGCTAACAGTGGAACTTATGACAAATGTCCACATTTACATTGTTAGTTTATGGACATCAGGTTTTCAACATTTAGAATTCAATCTTAACTTTCACCATCTGTTAGAGTTCTTACAATAATCAGAAAAATAATGTCTATACCAAAGATGCTTTTGTTGGCCCTGTTTCAGGCTTCATTTGAGAAAATGAGAAATTTCTGTTTATTGATCGCTGCCTATCATTGCTGGACTGCTCCGTCAGTTTTATCAGTGTCCTAAAGAATGCAATGCCGTTAATATTTTGTTTTTGCTGCATCAGAATATAAATAAGAAGTATTCTGTATGATGACACTTAACTTTTTTTTTTTTTTTTTTTGAGAGCCAATACCAAAAGTAACTCTTTGTGTGCAGTTGAAGCACTACTGGACATAAAGGCAAAGATGTCCTAGTTTGTTTCACAAAGTCACACAGTGATCTCAGTGGACTGGGGCACATTGTATCAGATGGCTCCAGTATGTTACATAACTTGGTGGCATTTACGCTCAAATGTATGTTCATGCATAACTGAACCCTATCCGATCTGTCTTCGGACAGGGTTCGGTCTATTGGAATTATGGCTGAAAGGCTTCATGCCATGTCTGTCCGTGTCCATTCTGCAGACAGGTGTGAAGGATGACGTCGTGCTCAGAGATCTGTGGGTCGGAATACAGCGAGCAGGTTCAATCTGGCAGAAACTGCCAACAGTACGGAGTCCGCTCCTACCTCCACCAGGTAACTGAATAGAAAAAAAAAAAAAAAAAAACATGAAATCCTATCCCAATATCAAAAAAAATAATAATAATAACTTCAACATAAAATCTGCAACAGAGCTAGAATCATCTGAATGTAATGTGGGCTTCAGTTTCTATTCTTTAACAGCACAGAAGAAAATAAACTCTGTTTCCTTTCAGTTCTATGAGGAGTGCACAGGTTCTATCTGGGAACGTGATGAAGATTTTCAGATTCAGAGATCGCCAAGCAGGTGGAGCTCTTTACTCTGGAAGGTGAGATGAGCTTTTGGCTCGAGCAAAGAAATCCACAGCTTGTGTCATGTAATGTTTCTTGAATTAAAAAAGTAATTTCATTGGGCATCATTAACTGACTTCGCTCCCACCTTGCAGGTCTGTCTCACGTTTGGAACACTGATCCTTGTTACAGGTCTTATTGTTGTTTTGGTGGGTTACGCAACACCGACCATGACTGAAGCATTTGGTGAAGATGATCTCCTCTTTGTTGACAGGTATAAAACCAGTTCCAAGATGTATCACGGAGAAGAAAACGGATTATTTGTTAATACCAAATAAACAGATTAGGGTTTCATTAACATTAATGCTCAGAGGACCTCTCAATAGTCAAAGACCCAAAATGACCAATAATGACAGAATTCATTTAATTAAGTTGGCAAAAGATACGACAATCTCCATCCACAACTGTGAACATGTTTGTTTGGTTTTTTTACAGATTTTATTAATATTTTTTGCCCTTCATTTTGTTTTTTGGATCATGTGTAAATCTCAATAGCTCAGTGATTTGGTGTGATGACAGTTTTTTGTAAAGATATACTTTATTCAACAGACTCATGGTCCACAAGTTACACAACAACACAACATACAAAACAAGAGAAAATAAAAATAAAATATATATTTTTTGTTTTTCACGCTCTTTGAGTTTCTGGGAGAAACTTTATCAAGCTTCTTTAATATTGTACAAGTCCCCTCAAACACAACTTTATCATTAATTTCTAAAGGACTTTCTGTCTTTACATATACAGCTACAAAAATCCCTCCAGTAAATGTGGATCTGGGCAATGCTTGCATAGGGAGAGTTTTACGGAGATGCTAACATTGGTTTGCTTCATCTCTGTTTTATATGCTTCGTTAAATTGTTCTGTGACATGCTTCCTTTGCAGATCTAATTAATCATGCATGTACCTCACTTACAGAAAGATTCATTAAATGAATGCTTTGCTTTTTATCATCATACATCTTAATGAGAAGTATCATAGCAGCTCGCTGCACAGCTCAGGACTCTCCTGGTCTGTTAGTTGAGTCCCAGCTGAGCTTGCCCTACAAATACAATGTGGGTTGGGACTAGATTGACTTTGCATTCAACTTATTTTTTACTTTACACTTTACACAGTATGAGATACCAATAAAGCAGGCTACAAACTTAACTCAGTTTAGGATTTTCCCATCTAAATTGATCTTTAATCTGGTTTGGTTTTTGCATTTCACATTTGTTGGTACAGTGTGCAAAAATGGACATATTATACTCAATAATTGACGGTAAAAACTTGTTTTGCAACAGCTACGCTGTCCGTTTCAACCGTGCACTGGATGTCTGCAAACTGACCGGTGCGGTGCTGTTCTGTGTGGGCGGCACCTCCATGGCTGTGGGTATTCTGCTGTCTGCCTTTGCCAAAAGCTACTCCAAAGACGAACTGTACCTGCAGCACAAATTTAAGGAGCGGTTAGCAGATCTCCATGCTACAGTTGGTAAGCTGGCTCATCTGATGAAAGGATTGATGAATATGACATTTTTCAAGTCATTGAACATGAATAAAACTGTTTGTGTCACAGGTCCATCAATAATGAGAGCACCAACTCCTGGGGAGGGGAAGGTGCCTGTAACGCTCTCCAAAGTTCAGAACATACAACCTGTGGCCACGAAAGGCGAGACCTGATCTGCGCCCCAATAAAGAAAGACACAAAGTGAAATAGGACTAAAATGGAATGTGTATGATTGAGGGCACATGTGAGTGTTCATCTTAATTAACAGTTTATCTTTAAAAAGAAAAAAAAGGCCAGCTTAAGCGGCTGCTAGGTCTTTTCTTTTTGGTTGTCATTTTTAATAGCTTCATTGACACAACTGACTACTGTATGATGTCATCATTCAATCCATTGCGATAAAAACTCACTGAGCAGTGACAAGGCTTTGCAGGAAAAGAATCTGAGGAGGAAATTAAAAAGCAGGATTCAGTCAAGAAGAACATAGAATTGTTTTTGACAGCGATAAACATCTTTGTAAATGACAGAAGATGTTAATGAGAAAGAGGAGCTGAATAGAGCAGCTCAGTTATTCCGATGCGCATCATGAAAAAGCTAAAATTGATTTTGAACATGGTAATTACTGTGACGCTATTTTAGACCGCGAGTGCTACTTTTTGGTGCTATTTGTCAACAAGCCAGAGATATGCCATTTTAGACCGCCAGAGAAAAAGTGCAAATATAATTTTTGGCAAAAAAGACCCATTGTGAAAGAATTCGCAGGCAAAACATTGACATTTTCTTATTGCTTGTTACTCCTCTAACCTTGTTTCTTCAATAAGCCTTCTGACAGGATCAATAGACTGAGCTTAGATGCAGAGAAACAATCTATATCACACAAACACAAAAACACAACGAACAGAATGCTTCCAGTCTCATTTCTTAAAAATATGAACTGTTGATCCGTCCCTCCCCTCTAACCTCCCTTTCTTTATTACTATTTGAAATGTAAGCATATAAAAACATGTATCCATGAAAGTCATAACCCATTTTACATCGTTTTGCCTCTATCTGTCCAGTTTAGTTCTATTTTTAAAGACTAAAAATAAAACAAGTACTTGCAGTGAGACAAACACAACAAACAGGTTGCATAACAGACAGATAGCTCACAGGGACATAATAATCTTGCTGATGAGCAACAACATCACATTTGACAGCTATAATGGAAGACCGGCTGTGATTCATAGATGCCCAATAACATTGTCACTTACAAAAATTGAAATTATACTGTCACGTCCAGCTGAACCTGATCACATACGATGCAAGAAAAGTAACATATTATTTAATTAGGATGGATTTTAATCTATTTGCTGTATATGAGACTTAATGTTATGAGTGTTTTTGTTTTTATTAGGTCATTCAGGTTAGTCTTTCATGCCTGACTGGGTTTTATAAGCACAGTTTGTGCAAATTAACTTTTTTCTTTGCTGCTTACAACCTTGGGTCAATGTAAATATATTCCCAAATTGTGATCCTCCCCTTTTTAAGTCGTTTCTGTTATTGTTGCGGTTACTGTTTTGGTTTGATTTATTGAATTACAGAGGAAATGACTAATAGGGCAGATTGTTTGCACTGCACCTCATCAGAACAATGCCAGAAGAGAACATCGTATCAAGCTCATTTACACTGTCAGGCTGCGAAATAAATGCAGCAGCACTTCCGGGTATTATCAGCATCAAATGATCAACTTCTTTGTTGGTCACATATATTCATGTAAATTGACCTCTGATGATCATTTATACAACCTGGGGTCTTTCTACAAAGTGCAACAAAATTAATTTTAAACTATTTGGTTCAAATCATACATGTTGGTATTAATAAAATATATGTAGCACATTCATGAGGCTTAACACAGAGCAGAATCAGAGCTGTTAAAGAAAATGTGGTATGAAACCTCCAGTATGGTCAAAATCTTAGTAACTGATCAGTGATTGTGCTGATTATGAACTGCTGTACTGTTGTATTAAAAAACACAATTTTTTATTTTTTTATTTATTTATTTTTATTTTATTCTGAACTTTTTACTTCTATCTGACTTGCTCTATTCTTATGCGTCTATATAGATGTAAGAGTCCCTCATCCCAGTCAGTAATAAAAGTGTCATCTTTTGGATTGAAACAAGATATATCACTGTATCTACAGTATGCTTCTTTTTCAAAGGACACAATAAAAATCACATGGTCGCAGCTCATATAAAGTGTGATTTGATGTTCTGCTTTGCAACTGCAAGTGTCTCACTAAACAAGAATATCCTCAAAAAGGTTGTTTATTTCAGTTGTTACATTTTTTAAAAAGTTATGCAAATTTATTGTACGCAGATTGAAACACATCAGAGCCTTTTCACTCAGAGCTGTGTCCTAGAATGTTAACACAAAGTTGAGTGGAAGGCAAAAAGTGGAAGCAAAGGTGGCTAAGCAACAGTGATCAATGCAGTGTTTGGAGGATTATAAACAAAGGCCATTCAAGAGTGCTGGACAATTTTTCAAACCATGTCAAAATAAACAGCTTAATCCAGCATATGCCCTACAGCTGTCATATTCTTGAAAGAAGAACTAAAAAAGGGCTTCAGGTGAGAATGTGTTATGGCGAATACTCAAACTTTATACTTTGGCAAGTTAAATGGCACCCATATACCTCTAAGTTGGGATGTACAATAATAATAATAATTAAAAAAAATCCTTAATCCATATTTAAGGTCAAAATAGGGTACCAACCAACAAGGAATAAGAAACATAAGGAATGTTTTCATAAATATAGTTTAATCTAATTGTCCTAATCGAGGTAGATTTCTTTGTAACTACACAGTTTATTTAATTTAAACATCCTCCATTAAACAAACAAACTAAAAAAATATTTAAAGACGTTACCTCTCAAAACAAATCTAAATTTCAAAGGTGTTTCTCATAGCTTTCATTATATCTTGCAGAATTATAATCAATCAGGAAGAGTGCTTCACAGAGCCCTATTAACAGGCCACAGACATACACACACTTGCACGAACACACCCACACGTCCAGTAACAGCAAGTGGCCAGGGGAGGCGATAATACTGAATTGATGGTGACTCCAGAAATAGCAACTTGTGCATCATCACCTTCCACCAGTCGGGGCTTATAACTCACAGCCTCTCCCACCTCCGCCTCCTTTGTTTTATGCTGTGTGTCTTTTCCCTTTTGCTGCCCATTTCTTTCTCACCCTCATTTTCACACACACGATCTCCTCTTGTCCCCTGGGATGATGACTCAGACTCAGTGACTGCATAAATCTCAATTTGAACAGCTGTAGGAACAAGAGTGGAGTGAGGCTATGAAAGAAATCCTATTAGATCATTCTTTACATTAGTGTATTTTTTCCCCAGTGGGAGAATTTTATTTGTGGCTTAATATACTTTCCCTTTGGGGTGAAACTGTGAAAAAAGATGGTGAATGAAATATGCAGTGCAGTAGTTTTTACTCAAATGCCAAGCGCTCTGAATCACACCTAATTGGTGATATAGTAACTGTCTGTATGGGTCTGATCAGGTCATGTTGAGGACACATGGATGCTTTTCTAAGATGTTATATAGTCAGAATATAGTTGTCATTTGTTTCTGCTGCAATCTTTCTACACTCTTCATATTAACTTCAAGTTTTTAATGAAATTAAATGGCTTGCTGACAAGGAGTATTAAAATGAAGATACTTTTGAGATTATGGTAATTATTAGAAGACGGGATAACAAATCAGGTACTTGATTGAATTCCAATTATAGATAACACACTACGGCACTATTAAGGAAACTTAGCTTGACTTGAGTTTCTTTTCCTTTTTCTTTTTTATTTTTTTTTATGAAATACACATTTGCACAACCATAGAAATTATTTCTTTAATATTTGCATATGGTGGTACTTGGAAAAAAGCAGATGGTACAATGAAGAAATAGGACTCCTCCAAAAAAGTGTCAACATTAGTGAAACTCAGCAGTCACACACTGGCCATGAAATATGAAAATCAATCATTAACATGAGTCAAAAAATATATATTTTCTTGTTTTATGCAGTTTTATTCTTCAGATATCTGGCAAATATAAATAAGTAAATAAATAGATTTTATTCTTTGACTATACAGTGAGGATGTAGCAATAATACAAGATTGTCAGACCATGTTGGCTGTTTAGATGCCTACAGGAGTTCACAAAGTTTATGTTCATCATAATGTTAACATCATCTTTCTCAAAACTAATAGACCTAACAGATTGTTTCATGAAACAAAGCACCTTAAGAATTAACCATATTCATTAATATGCAAAATAAATATCACAATACAGTAGCTTTCATTGGTTTAGCTGTGTCTGTAGAAGTTAATCAAAGGCATTGAAAGACTTTATCTGCTTATAGTTATGAACTTTTCTTTTTGAAAACTCAATGGGAATCTCAAAGCACAGTTCCATTAATTGTGGTATTATTTTTCTTTTTTATTATTCCTGTCTGCAAATGCTGATTTTAGTTTTAGAGTTTCCTTTTCTCTTTCTTCGCTAATCTCTCTCTTTATTTTCCGGCTCTACTTGAGTTTCTACCTTCCCACTCCCCTCTCTGTTAATCTTCTCTTCGTTTCCTTCCTCAATGGGAGCCTCATCTTTTAATTTGATGACATCTTCCTCCTGGTTACTGGTCCTGCTGCTGCTTCTAGTAGCTCCGCTTCCTTTTTTCTCGTTATCCGACTGAGTCTCGTCAGGCATGTTGCCGTTTTCTGTCTCCTTTCGTGCCTCCCCCGTGTCTGCTTCATTACTGTGGCCATTGCAGCTTTCCTCTCCATTACCTCCAGCTCTCTCTTGCTTATCTTCTTCTGTATCATCGTCTTGCTCTTTCTTAGCCTCAGAGGATGTAGTTGAATCTTCTTTTAGCTCTTTATTGTCCTGGGGCTTATCATCAACGGGAGTGCTAGTGGACGCCTGATCCTCAATATTAACCTCAGTCTTACTCTCTTCTATGACCTCTTCCTTCACTTTAACTTCCCCCACCTTCTGCTCATTTATTGCAGTACCTTCTCCTTCTTTTTCATTATTTTGCTCATCAGCTTCCTTCTTCTCCTCTTCTTCTTTTGCAACATTTGTGTCTTGGATCTGGTCCTTGTCATCTTTGCTCGTGGGTCCATCTGTTTCTGTGGCGTTTTCTGAACAGGGTTCCTCTTCAGTATTTTCACTGTCCTCTTTTGAAGTCCTTTGGCCATCGGATGCATCAGATTTCTGTAACACAGAAATGTGAGAATTTTGTTAGAAAGACGTGTCTCAAAATCATTTCTATTAAAAGATGGTGGAAGTACAAGGGTTGCAAATATATGTCTAAAATAATTTGAGAAAAACAATGTAAGATGACTCTAATTTAGCAAAACCAATGAACCAAATAAATTTACCAACACATCCATTTTCACTGGATCAATAGAATTGATTTTTTACATTCATACCTCTTCAGATCTCTGATCTTGGGAGGTTTTGCGCTCTGTGTTTTCACTGTCAGCCTGTGGTTCTCTGTCATCTGGAAACAGAAAGAAAGACCAAAGGCGTGACTCTAATTGTAAAAAAAAATTAAAGGACCCTTACATGGACTTAAAAGCATATATTTCTGTGTCTTACATCACACACACGCACACACACACACACACACACGCACACACACACGCACACACACACACACACACACACACACACACACACACACCCACACACACACACACACACACACACACACACACCAGACACACACACACACACACACACACACACACACACACACACACACACATAATGTCTTGTTTCATTAGGACTGACCATGAATCTCAGATAATGAGTCACTTTTCACATCGGTTGATATTATCTCTAGTGTGAAATTAGGTTGCTGTGATAAACGATGGATTATTTTTTAAGGCTTTACAGGCATTTTTACTAACGGTACCAGTTAAGTTGACTGACACTGAAAAAAAAAATGGACTACATAAAGTTTCTAAGAAATCAACAGCTCTTTAAAAGTGAAATGTAATGTCACTAGTATTGTTTTTTTATGTGAATAATTATAGTCATGTCAGTTGTCAAAACCCAAGCTTATTATTCTGTTCCAAGTTCAAGCTTGTTTTTATGCTCTCTGCTCAGAATTTTAAAACCGGATAAATACATTTCCCAAGTTTCCCCAATTTAATTATTTTCATGCATCCATAAAATCCAAAAATAAGAAAGCTTTTGTTCACCCTCCAGTGAGATAATTGTTACACTTGTTATCCTCTCATTTCACTGCTGTGCTGTTAGACTTGAGCAAACAGCACAATGCTGACACCTTGTGGACAATGAGAAAAAAAAATACAAAAACATTAAAGATGATCTCACTGCAAGAATCAAAACAGAGTGAGTGCATATCCATTCATATTCTTGCTTTTAATTAAAGTGTTGTCTCTTTGCAGGTTGGCATACAGTACATTGCATTAGATGTTATTCTAGCTGTTGCCATATAACGTGAAGAGGACACATTTATACAAAAAAAAAAAAAAAAAACATTCAAAATCAACACTGCGGTGTAAGTCCTGTCAATTAAATGAAGATCGTATACAGCAGCTCAATAACTCCTCATTTCTACTGAACCAGTCAGCCCAGCAAAGAAGGTTTGCCAATGTGCAAAATTAATATATCACTTTTCAGCTTGCATGTGATCATGCTCATCAAAGGCTCTGGAATTGTTGCTGCTGAATATCATAGGATGAACTCAACTCTACGCTCTGATAAACAACATAATTACACACTTGTTCTCAAACACTGGATGAGACTAAACTTTCCAAACAGAAATAAGCTGAAAAAAAAAAACCCAAAACAAAACAGAAGAGAGTAATTAATGTCTTTAATATTAGTTTTCCTTTCTAGAGAAAGCTGTTAAGGAAGAAAAATGACTCGGGTAGAGATTAGAAGGGTTTATGGAGACATTTAATGCATTTAAAATGCAAAACTGATTGAAGTTTAGCCATGGTGGAAGATGAAACGTTATGGTAATAATAGTGGACCCTTTTTAAGAATATTTTATGGAAATTACTTGCATTCATTAGGAGCTAGGGCCAGGCGGCTGAGAGAGGAGCTGTAAGCAGAGGATGAGCTGCCATGACTCTAAACAACTTAACGTAATTTGAGAAGGAAGAGGCTCAGCCTCATGAAAATGCTAAATCAAATAGAAAACAACATTTAAAATATCAGCTTCTTACTCTCGATTGAATGTAAGTACGTCTGAAATCTGGTGCTGCAAATATTCAGACCGCTTCATGGTTAAGGTAACGTATGAGACTGTGAAACTTTTATTTATTATTCCATTGTCATCCAAACGCATGCATATATTTAATTTACACACAACTGGCTCAAAAACAGATCGCACCCACAATTCTGGTTTAAAGCCAAAGCTCATCCATCAGCAAGGATGGAGATGTAAGTGGGTGTAATTGCGTGCACAAATGGCTCTTGCAGCCATTATCCAAGAATAAAAAGTTGTAAATGTTTGTTGTTTAAAAGAATCACAGCAAAACAGAACACAACTGGAGATGAAATGATAGAGTTGGAAGAGATCCTCTCACTGTTTAAGGAGGAGACTCCATCTTTGCTTACACACACGTTATGTTTTTTTAGATCACTGCATCTGTTTTTGTTGTCGATGAAATTTGCGTTCAGTTCAGTGGGTTGTAGTTATTGATCTCATTATGAAAAAATCTGAGAAATACTTTGTTGTGAGATAAGGCTTCAGTGATCTGTTTGACTCAAAATATGAAGCGCAAGAGCCTGAAAAATCCCTTCTAAATCCAAGAAACACACAAAACACAACAGTTTCAAACCGGTCCTGCTAACAAGTACAAACCGACACATAAAAATGTGCTTGTTGCATGTCACATTATTTATCTGGATAATTAAGTTATTTAATTAAAATGGTGTAATAAAAAATAAAATAAAATAAAATAAAAACGTTTTTGACTTTTATGAAACATGACAAATTATAAACCTGAGTAAACTAAGATAATTGTGAGATGGGTAATAATGTGTAGACAAAAGCTGATTTTCAAAACAACATTTGAGATTATTACACACACACGCACATGCACGCACACGCACGCACACACACATGCAATGTCTCCATAAACCCTTGCAAAGTTCAGTTCCCTGGTCCCAAAGCTCATTCACCTCAGAGAAAAGGTTGCAGAAACCCCATGGGGCTTTAGAGAAGCTCTTTTAAACATCTTGTTTGTTTTACTTTAAAACAGCCAATTATCATTCAAGCAGCTCCTCTGGAGCTTGGTGTATATATGTATGTACATCTATACATTCACAATACAATAAATAATATGTTTCAACTGCATTTATGTTTTTTTTTTTTGTTTTTTTTTCCAGTATGAATCAGAATAAATACATACATGCATCAGTATATTTAATTTCATATCGATAGTAATGTGCAGCCTTGTGTTGAGATAGCTCTGACATTAAATCAAAGCCTAACAATGTGGCTGGCAGACAGGCAGAGTCGTATTTGTAAAGGTCATGGCTTCAGCTTAAACAATTCATTCAAGATGTTCTTTCTCTCACCGTTTTCTTTTTTGTTTTCCTCACAGTTCCTTAAACACTGGGCCATTCAGGTTTTTACCTAAATGGCCTGCTTGCTTTCGGATACTCAAGTATGAAATACTTCTACATTACCATGTGTTTAACTGCCTCAAAGAAAATAAACAAGCATAAAAGATGTTTAAAACATGGTTTGAAACAACACAACTTTTTGTACTTATAATCATTGGGCATTTTGATGCCGTTTTCCTCTGATGCATATTTGAAAGGCCAAGAGTGAATGCAACACAGTGGATTGCACATGCAAACTGCACTAAAAAAATATACATTAATTCAAGTCAAAACTTCGACTAGGCCATTCTAACACACAAATACGCATTGTTCCTGAAGTTTCACTCACTCTCAGGACTTTTGCAGTTTTGAGCTGTTTTTGTTCACCCTGATCACGGAAAGGATCCCCACAGGATGCTGCTGTCACCACTGTGTTTCAGAAGGGAACAGTGCGCTCAAGGTATAAGCGTGGTAACTAATTGCTTTTACTCAGATACATTTATTTGAGTGACGTTTTTTGGAAAAACAAAATGCTTTTAGGAGTCCTAATGGGGACTCCTAAAAGCATTAACACATATAAATGTCACTAATTTTACATTTTCATGTAAAAAACATGCACCATTTTCTTCATCTTTGGTTGTAAAATGATCATATCTGTAAATGCTGGCGAGGTATTGATATTTCTTGCATGTCACTTCAACTCACAACATTGAACACAAATCCTCAAACCAAAGCGTTTTCAAATGACTTCTGAAGATTCTACACAACCAACAGATTCCCCCAAATGTCAGCTTTTTACTTACGTAATGCAGACAGTATGTCAAAGTGCTTTTGATGTCTTGTGCTGATTCAAGCGTCACATAAACTAATGCTTCTATCACAGCCGCTCAGATGGGCCCCACCAAAAAAATGGGTCATGCATGCTAGACTGGAGACAACAGAATGTGTTAATTTTTCAGCCCTGAAAAAAATGTAGTCGAGCAAACAGATACTGTATGTATGGTGACAGGAACAATTCCCCAACAAGAAATTTTGTAACACAAGAGAAAAACATTACATCTGTCGGTACCGGACTTCCTTTTTCTTATACAGATCCAGCAAACCGACACAAACCTACATGCAGCAATCTTCATCTCTCTCTCCCATTCGACTTGCGAACAATACAATACAATGTTTTTATTCTGGGGTTTTTTTTAAGATGACTTCAGAAATGACAGGATTGGTAAGTGGTAAAACAGGAGTAACGTGCATCCTTGGTGAATCTGAACTGCTGCACTCAAAAGATGGAGAACGCCTGATGCCTGAAAGGAAGGCAACAGGCTATTCACAGCATGAGGTTTTGTGCAAACTCAGAGACCTCAAGGGTTCAGCCGAAGCATTTACAGCAGGTTACTAGGGTTACTGGGAGATCTCCATCTTACATTTGTGAAATGAAAGACATACAGAAGAATACCTACAAGGACAACTCAATAGGCATCAAAACTGTTCTGAGAGACTTATATACACTACATCAACACTGTGAGGAAGTAATACTATAGTTGTACAAAACACAATAGATTAGAATTTCTATGATGCCATGATGCTTTGGTTAACTTCGGGCTGCAGTGAATCTAAAAATCTAGACGCGGTTACTGGTGTCAAGGCACACAAGTCTTAAATAAAGTTGTGGGTCTCTTTCACAAAGCGTTTCCATTCTAAACCTTCTAAAGTAGCTAAACAGATTTGAATTGGAATGCATGTAATTGAATTATGCTTTTTGCTGTGATGATCGGAGGGCATGTTTCTCACTATGAATTGAATCTACTGTATGTGTCTTGTAAAGTCCCTCAGAGGTTTGATTTCAATTCAATTAAAAATTTAACTGAATGTATGACACGTTTCAAGGAGCATGTCAGCAGCTAACTCACATCAATGTGCAATCAGTGTTTTACAGCAGAACAAATATTTGTTGATTTTTGTTATTTTAATATATTCAAGATAGATTTTCTAAAACATTTTCTTTATTAGTATAAACATTTTGTGTAACTACTTTGACACTGCGGTATTTCAGCCTTTCAAAGTGTCTTGATTTTTGATAAATTTAAGGCAAGAAAATATTAGTAATGCCTATACAAAATGCTACTTTTGTTCTTAATGAAACATAACAAACCCGGGATTGTAACTTGCCATCATCCACCTTTGGTTTTGCATAAAAGTGTAGAAGCAACTATCAGCACAGTTCTTCATCTCTTTTTATTTTAATTTTTTTGCATTTCCCATCTTTCCACATGTGCAGACCTGTTTGTCAGTCCATCCCAACCAAAGCTCAACACTCTTTTGTTGATTCCCAGAGAAGCAATTTGGCCCCAGCAAGGGATATAAGCAAGTAAAACTCTGCTTTGATGACTCTAAATGGAGTGATTATCCAAATGAAAGGCAATTACCCAAACCCCACCCATCACCTCAACCTTTCAATATCGCTTCGTGCCCTTTTTCCTCGGCACTCGCTCTCCATGAACCCAGGCTATTCATCATATTTGCTATTCGATTCCATCTATGTTCCGCTTTCTTCCTCTCTGCTTCTATAATCTTGTCCTATTAGTCCCTCTACTTCAACCCTCTCTTTTATCTTCCGCTCTTCACCTTTTTCAGATACATCCTTTTCTCTTTTTAGGCTCCTCTCTCCAAGCTCACTCCTCATACTTGTACTCCTTCCCTCTTCTCAAGGGAGCCATTAACTGAATTGGTCACAGGGGCCCTTAAGTAAGGGAACACTGGTAAACATCCCATTTCTATTCTGGGGTCAGAAACAACTGCTAATTGCCTCTGTCCAAATTGAGCATGAATGTGTTTTTGAAAACATAACGGCAAACACAGGCCAAGTTGGATCAATAATTTGCCTCATTTGGATGAGGCTTTTGCACCTGTGTTGACACACGCACATACATGCACACGCACGCACACACACAGTGTGTTGGTAAAGCTTCTTGTTTGTTACAGTCAGTTCACATTCAATCTATGACCTTTACTGATTGAGTTCTCGCACCGCCGCTACACCCCTTGTCCTCGCTGTCACTCTCCAGTATCATCACTCCAACGAAGCAGAAAAAGTCAAAGCCTTTACGGCGCAGCGTACCGAGACTGCTGGAGTCGTACTCGCCAGCAGGTGACAGACCGTGACTAATTGGAAACAGTGTGCAAACAGTGTAATCAGAACTGTGACGATGATGATGATGATAATAATAATAATAATGGAGGAACTGGGTTCCTGTCTAAGAAAGAAATTCAAATAATTTACTTACATGCACACATAGAGATCACACGGTCACGTAAGAACAGAAGGTTTATATCTCTTCCTCAATCGACGCCCACTCAGAAGCAAATTTACAACAATATGTGATGATCTCATGTGACCGTTTCATGTTTCAGGTCTGAAGTGTGCTTTTTCATGATGTGTTCTTTCCAAACAATGTGCTAACTTCATAATCCTGTTATTTAATGTATTGTAAACTCTGAAGGAAAACCTCATACATTTTACATTTATTCCACACGGAGTGGCATATTTCAGACATTCATGTCTGCTACTAAACTAAAAGTGGAAAATAAAATAGTCTGATTGAATGTCAGGTAGGGAGAAAAAACGTTGCGTACCACTCAAAGAAATGACCTTATTTATGATTTGAGGTGCAGCCCTATATTGAAACAAAAATAGACTGTAGTAATTTATAAAACTGCATAAACATCACTGTAAAATTGCTTTACCTTGACAGTAATTTAAAAAGAGAATCTTAACCTACAGTTCTAATAAAAAGTCAATCAGAACCATGGATAGAGACAGAAAAAAAAATCCTCAAAGACGCTGCGATCTTGCTACAAAACTAAACAAATAAAAGCAAATTAGTATATCTTGTTAACATGACAGCCATTGTAAGAGACTTAAAAGGTTAAACAATAACCTTTTAAGTCAATGTGTGTGTGTGTGTCTGAGGAAGCAAAATGCTTCCAAATGAGTCAAGCCACCCTGTCACATGCCTGATCTTGTTTTCATGCTCTGTTTTCTAAATACGATTTTGCTCAATGTCATCCAATGTGACCAATAATGTAACATGATTGTCTGTTGCTCTAGTTCGATGTCCCAAAAGATGGATTTTTAGGGTGACATTATTGTGGAAAAAATGATGCGTGTGCGGACCGAAGTGAGCAAACAGCAGACAGATGTTTCTCAGTCCTCCCTTTCGATTCAAAATGCCAGCTCCCCAAAAACAAATTCTTCACCCTTCTCTGTACTTCTGGTGTCGGCCGAAAAGAGAAAAAAATAAATAAATAAATGACACCATCAGGTAATAGATGATGTAATGCTTCAAGCAGCAGGAGTTTAATTATTGGTTCCCTGCACTGTGGAAAAAAACATCCTTGTGATCTGCCACATTTTATTAACCGAAAAAAATCTGTTCAAGAAGAACAAATGCTTTTAATTGTTATAAGTGACTCGTGATAACAAAAAGTTAAAAACAAAAATACATTCTTCTTTTTTTTTTTCTTTCTTTCTTTCTTTCCTTCTTTGTCCAGGACTTTACACCATGTTGTTCACAAGCCCGAAGAATGATGTAATGTGTTGTTTGGTCAAAGTCACCATCCAAGCCAGATCAATTTTAAAGTCTGTGTTTTGCAGAGCAACAGTGCCACTTAGTGGCCATGCAGTCATGCAGCAAGTTGCATAAGCTCTAAAAGAAAGACAAATTACATCATACTGCCTTCAATATATCTCACTTCAGCAGCTTTGACTGCACTAATTTATTACTGTTACATACACATATACATTTGGTGTTAATAAGAAATTATTAATGCCTCCAATAAATGCTACATATGGTCATTAATATATTTTGAAGTGATTTGATTTAACAATGTGAGCACATACAGAAGGTATTTCTGTAGACACAAACAATCATGATTTGTTCCTATAATTGCAGATTTGCTGATGCAACACAGCTGCTGTCATTCACATGCTGCTGCTTCAAAACCATAATAACCACAAGACCACCTTTAGGCTAGCGAGTATAAATACATTTAATCCTTTCTTAGACTAATGTATTCTTTTTTTCTGTTGTCAACGTGCGTTACCGTTATCTGGTGAGTCGGCCGTGATGCTTTGTCCACTTTTCTTGTTCCTGAGCGCGAGCAGCCTCGCCTGGGACATTTCTCTTACAGCAGAGCTCAGGTGTTCCTTGTTGTTGCCGCAGTGGTTTGGAGGAGAGGCTTTGGAATCCCCATCTCCACTGTCGCTGGAACGAATTGTGGATTTACTCTGAGGCACAGGAAAATCAAACTGGTTGGTAAGTAGAAAAAACTCAGGACTAGATTTAAAGTCCTGCATAGTTTTCCACAATACAGGTAAGGACTTTAGGATTTTGTAAAATGAAGATGTTTCCACCAAACATGACATCATAAAACCTGATAGTGGTCAGCACTTACATTTCCACTCCGTTTTGAGAATCGATAGATGGGTGGTAAAGAATGAGCCTTCATTCTGAAAAATAAAAAAACAACATGAATAATCTATTTTAATTAATCTATAGTCATATTTAGTTGAATTTGTTTTCATAAAAAAAAGATCAAAATCAAACGGGGGCCTAATAAAATTTTGTTAGTATGATAGAGACTCTAATGTTTGGAGATGACTAAGTCTGTTTCGCTGCCATTCATGCACTTTAGAAAAAAGAGTATTTATTTATTCTCTCATGTCAAACATTAACATTTTATGTATTATTTGCACACGTGGAATGAATAAGATAATACATTTTTGCTACAATAACTTATTTTTATGATCATAAGCATAAAACACAGGCATTAACGTAAAATGTTAATTCAAATGCAGCAAAAAACTATCTGAAATATCTTATCATTTTCCAGTTGTTTAAAGATTTTAATGTATACGAAGAATATATGGTGCATGTATGGAGAAAGTATTGTTTTAGCTTGAATTCAGGCACATTTCATAAACTGCTCTGAATTTCTCAAACTGCATATTGCATAATTTTATGAAGAAGAAGGTGATCTCTAATAAGGAATTATTAAAATGTGTTCAGAAAAGGGGTTTAAACTAACACTAAGTGGATAAAAATGTTAAATTTAATTCAAATGCAATTGTGAAACTGCACAGATTGAACATTTGATCAAGTAATGTTCATGGATTTTTTGCAGCGCACAGTTTACCCTCTGATCCTTCTTGTTCCTTTGGGCCTAGAGAAGAGAAGGTCACTGTATGGAAGCTTCTTAAATCTCTCTCTGCCCACAGCCACGTAAAGCTGCCCGCACTCCAGCTTACTCCCATCAGTCACCTGATGGCCTTCATAGGTGTAGAGACTATGGAGCAAAAACGGAGGACAACCCCTTTTTGTTTCAACTAACAGTGAAAGGTACACAACATTTTTTTTTTAAGTTTTCATATTCCCACAAAAAGTTGTTTGCATGACAGCAATGATAGACGTGGATCCACACAAGACAATATAGAGAGACGGAAAATCCATTTATGCAATCTTTGTTTACCTTCGTACACCCCCCAGGACTCGCAAGCCCATCTTTTCTGTAATCATTTCTAGTATTCGTTCAAACTGGTCCATCATCCTCTGGTGGATCAGCAGTCTCATTGCAGGGTTCAACATATCACCGTTTGCGACGACACTATCCAAAAGAACACACACAATGCAACAGAGATTTTCTATGCTTCTATGTAATGTCAAGGGCAAACGATCCAAAAAGAGTCAGAGAGTGGAGGTGCTCTACTTACAATATTATGCATGGTTCTTTGATGGGTTTTAGAAATCGTGCCGACACAATGATTCGATTTTGTGGGAGTGGTCTGGCCTGAGAAGAGAGAGAGACAAGTACTAAAACATTTTAGGCTGCATGTCAAAGCATAATCCCATCTGAGCTAGTATAAAAATAGGCAAGGGTTTAGAATAATATTCCTATAAAGACTCTAAATCTAATGAATACAAAGAGGATAGTATTGTCCAGTGACTTTAAACTTGCTTGTTCAAAACTACAGGGAGATGAAGCCACAACTGGGAAAGGTTTCCAATTATAGGTGGAACTGCACTTTGTACTGAAGACAATAGTCATATAAACAAAAACACTAAATTAACTCCAAATGGCAAGTTCTTTCTTTTGCTTAAAGAACAAAAAAAGAAAAAAAAAACAGACTAATAATTATGTCTTGGATTAATTTGGCACCAAATAAATAAGTCCTTTGAGATCCTTTGAGATTGCACAGCAAAAAAACAAAAAATAAAAATAAAAAAATATGCTGCCAAGTTGACAAATTGTTTCAGACCAAACATTTTGGAGAAAAATGCAAATAAACTCCCACACAAACCAATTTTTGTCTTTTCTGTTAAAAAATAAAAATAAATAAACTTGAGAAACAGACAGCACCCACTTAATTCTAGCCAGCAACAAAGCAAGGTTTTTGTAAGATGATCGTGTCTGTTGTAATGTACCTGCCATCTTAGAAGTTCATATTCAAAGTCAAAATCTATGCAGAGGGTAGATTATGTTGCTATCTGAGAACAGCTTTAACAAAATGCCACACTTGTATTTTTCACCAGAGGATTTTGTTTTCACATACCAAAAAATCTAATCTTTTACACAGTATCTAGATAGAATTACATTAAGTTTTTATCTTTATGGACACAACTTTGGTACATAAAAAGTACTTTTTGCAGAATGCTAATAAACTCTTAAAACCTCAGCATTTTCTGCAATAAGAAAATTACAATTTTGAATCTCATTATTTACAGTCCCCTTATAATAACGGCAGAGTGGTTACAAAAGAAAATTATGTGATCTTTTGGAAACACCTATTTCAAGGGCATAGTCTTATTCAGCACAGGAAAGCAGTACCTGTATTCAAACAATAATAAATTGGCCTGACACTATGAGAAACATCCTTAAGGCATTGTGCTTTGGAGAGTACTGTAGTTTCAAATTAGTGTTTTGAATGTACATGACAAACTCCCTGGGGTCTGTAGACCCAAGCAGAACAAGCTTGCTTTCATTAGTCCCTAAAAAATGTCACCATGTCTCTGTGGGTCAGTCAATGGCCCCTTTCAGATGTTTTCGTTCTGTGAACTCTACGACTCCCAATCAATTGTAAGTTCCCAACATGAAATGGGGGTGGAAATCACTCCACCGACATTACACCTCTGATCCACCTTTGTGATGTAGCCATCAGCCTTTAACCACTACGAAGTGTGAGGAGTCACAGCGGATTGTGGAGTGAGTGTGAAGTGATGATAGCTACGAAAGCAAGCAAAGAGAAGCAGCTGGGGTCTGTGGTGTGCGAGGATAATGGACGAGTCGCATGGTTTTCCAGAGTCCGTTTGATCCGAGCAATATGTCGCTCCGCACACTCTGCTGCTGATAGGAAAATGTTGATGATGTTGCACAACATGCGCACGTGTTTCAAGCACTGAATGGATTTAAGAAGTCGGCAGGAGGATTGTGACATAAACTCCTACAAATGGTCAAAGTATAAACAACGTTTCTTAAGTTTTCCTCAATCATGCTGTGTGAGCACTCAGGGACTGTGATATCAGCAGGCTGACCTGTGTGACATGAAGTGACAAAGTGATTTGCGATGGTAGATTCACTAGTTCTGTTTACTGCAGAACTACAATCTGAAAGGGGCTAATTTGCTGAGACTCTTTGGCTTCATATTGTCGTCTATTAAAGCTTTTGGTTTCTCTCTCTGATGGGTATTTTCTAACACTATCTGTTTGAGTTTGGTTTTAACATTTTTATTTTTATTTATTTTTTTATTATTTGTATCCTAGTACCGTATTATTTTCTGCACACCTTCTTATGCTTCCCCTTTTCCCAATAATGATTTTAATGAAAATTTGCTGTATTCTGAACAATTTCTGAAGCAACCTGATTTACTCATATATTTGAACAATGCAATACAACCTTTACCTTGAACACATGCCCTTGTGTTTGACACTTGTTTTGTCACAGAATGAATGATACTGATTGAACTTGACCCTTAGTTTTTGGACATGATACTTTTAATGAATGATTTACTTACATGGAATGATGCTACAACTATTGGGTTTCTATTACTCTACTATGCATACTGGTAAATCATTTGCCAGATAGTAATATAAAATCTATCAAAAAATAGTGATTAATGTTTGTAAAATGGTGTTGGACTGCAGTTAGTTTGAACCAAACCTGAAAGAAAACAGAACCTAATATGAAGGTATGGGTTTGGTATGATACAAACTGCATGTTCTTTCCTGAATAAAAGTCATATCAGAAACCTATTCAAGGTCTCTGCTACTTGGATAGAGGGACATCAGGTGAACAATTAAAATACATGAACCCGAGAGCAGTGTGACTTTTAGCTGCTCCAGTTTAGGCTGTGACTTTATAGCAGGTGATTAAAGATGCATTAAAAGAGGGACGATTATGATACATCAATAATGCATGGCTACTGAGACAACAGCAAAGTGTTTCTTCATGAACAACAGAGGGTGGAATGCTTTACATCACACTTTGACTAAAATATCTTCATTAAATGCTCTTTGTGTATCTTACATGTAATCATAGATTTAAGTGTTTAAAACACAAGTTACAGAAATTATTTCTTTAGGAGCACATGATATTTTTTTGCACCCTTGAAAGGTCCAGGTATGCAGCTCTGCCACTGCAGAAGTTGAACAGTGTCTTATGACCAGATCTGTTTACTTACTGCTAGAAACATGAGGAGATGATTGGTGCCTCACACCTACAGTAAAGTAAACAATAACATTAAGATGAACATGCTGTAAAACTAGGTTACTGTGTCACAGTAACCTAGTGAGGTTTTGATCACTCAATCGGCCTTTTGAAGTAATTGTTCTTGCACCATGTTCCAATACAAAAAGGTCAAATGAAAACATAATTCATTGATGGATGAGGAGGTTCTAATCCTGCAGCAGAGGTACACTGTTTTAATTCAGCTGGCAGGAATTTCCCCTCTCTATTGAATGCGGACAGAAAGTGCTGCCTTACCTGAGCCGGCAGTGTCTGCATCATCCTCTTCTTCCGGGTCCCAATATCGAGATAACTTGGAAGACAGCATGTAGAGAAGTGAAGATGAGTTAATCATACACCCCATTGTGATGAATTAGTGAATGTATGTCACAAATACTCAGTGGGTCGTCAGACATTACTGAAAACTGCAACATGGAGTGGGAGATGCTAATATCTATCATATCATCCCAGGTCTTGCAACTATAACTTGTATCTGTGGTATAAGGACAGCATAAAGATATGAGTGGTAAGAATATTTACAGTCGGTATGCATCTGTTGGTACATCAACAACAGTAGATCTAGAGATTGTTTCTATCCATGTAGAGATGGTCTTCATGATTAAATGTATACTATAAGTATACAGCTTATAGTTTGACATTAAGTATATTTCAAGGTAGAAATAGTCAAATAAATTAAATTCAGATTATGAAAGAGGAAGAATTGCAAAGCAGCATTTTTTGTCTATTATCTGTTCCATATTGTTTTGAAAGTGTGCAATCCTGTTTAATACCTTGGACATTGTTTATCTATTGACCTTAAGGGACAATGTGGACATTAAAAGGCAGCAGCTTACAAAATAATATGTTGATACGCAAATTCAGTATGTATCCCCAGACCACAAAAGATTGAACTTTTTATAGCAATGCCCATTAATGAAGATGTCACAGAGATGAAACTCACTGTAGAGTCTAATGATAAAATATGATCGCTTCTAAAGATGCTCAAATGCAGTGGCTCACGTCAAATGTTTGTATTTTTGTGTTGTAGTTCTGTCTCATGGTGCACATTTATGTACACATATCTTAGTTACCCTAAATACAGCAATGGCAGCACACAGTGGCATTACACACGGTTAGCCAAAGTGTAGTTCTGTAGCAGAGAATACCCATATCTTAAAGTTTAAAATAAATAGAAAATAAAAATATACAATGTCAAGCATATTCTCCGTTCGGCTTTACCAAGAGTAAGTCACTCTGGTTATGGGGTTCTGATACATTTGCAAACATTCAGATAATTAAAACTAGAAATTAAAAAAAAGTTGTGATAACTTTTTAACATACAAGATGAGTGGAGAGATAAAAAAGCTAATAGAATTAAATAAAATATATATCCATGCATGAGTGCATTAAAAACTTCCCACATTAAGACCCATGTGACAGGAATCACACCCAAGACCTCCTTAGTGCTTACAACTTTGTCACCAGTTAGTTATCTTTAAACACAATATATCTCTGAGCATTAAAGGAATAAATCTTTTTCACAACTTAGCCAACATCTAACTTACAACTCTAAAATGACAATATAATTTCATGTTATGTAATTATGATGATCTAAAACCTGTGATTTAGACCATGAATTCAGAGAGCTAAAAAAAAAATGCTCGTTTTTATATAGTTGCTCTCTTCTGTTTATTTTGTCCTGTGCTCTAGGTTTTTATGTGTTTGGAGTACAATATTAACAAACCTGAGCAAATGTCTGCAAGAAACAGATTCAAAAAGAAAATACACATTAAGATCCTGTATGCCTTACGTCTAGAATGACCAGCATATAATCAGTACTGAAGACTATTCGCATAACTCCTTATGCTTCCATATTAAATTCTAATGGCTACTTAAATGTGCGGATCTAATTATCTTATCCATAAGTCCACTTATTTTTAGGCCAATGCTTCTCTTCAGGCCTGATCTCATCAAGCTGTGACTCAGCACTCAGCAAACTGTTGAGTCACAGAACATTTTAATACCCGGATTCAGTCAGCAGGTCTGAATGCTGAGCGTCTGGATGCATTGTTGCTTATCCCTACAATGACTGTGAAACCCAGTTTTTATAATCAAGGATCTCAAGTCCTGATATTTCGCTGAAATTTGAAGGGCGCGCGCGCGCGCTACGCACCATGGCGGAAACGTCACACCGGGTCATCCATGACTACAGCATGCACGAGACATTTGATTCTTTGCGTCTTTCTTACTCAAGCTTTTTGAATTTCTCTTTCCCCGCTGCGACGTACTGCTCCCCGCTCTGCAGGCTCTCCATGCAGTCCACCTTGTGGCCCCCTCTCGGCGTGTAGATGTTCCTCACCGCCCCGAACGGAGCCTGTATCCCGCCGGTCACCTCTCGCAGCAGCGTCTCGAAGTTACCCACTCTCTTCTCGTTGATAACTATCCGTCGCGCCTCGTAGTAAGGGTCTCCGTTCCGGAACATGAACACGTTTTTCACCACGGGCTGCGAGAGAAAGTTTGGCTTCTCCGAACCCATTTCTGCGCTGGGGAAACAACAACAACAACAAAAGCGCGACTGGGAAAGAAACCCGTTAAGATAGAGTCATAACCCTCTGCTCCCCGCTGTGAACCGAGAGTCTGCGTGTCATGACAATGTAATCAGAGCTGATCCATCCTTGCCAGATCTTTACGGTTTGGTGGAGGTGAGGCGGTCGAGCAGGAAAACGCACAGCGCAGGTATCCAGACAGCGCTTTGAGCGCTCAGTCAGGGAGAGTTTGCTTCTTTAAAAGTAACGTCAAGTCTTCGAAATATTACTTCGATGTTGAAAAATATCAAAAGTATCTTGTTCACTGCAGAGGACTGATTCTCCGTGCTGCGCCACAAGTGGTTGTTCAGCTGCAGCTTCCTCTGCTCTGTGACCCAGGTGTCTTGGGAGCTCATCTGCTGGGACATGTCTTCGGGAACACGTTGTTCTGTCACCGATTGGATGGAACTTTCTAATCATCAAGTGGCCAATTATGAGCCAGTGGGCAAAAGACTCAACTATTCAACATTGGTGACAGTGTGCTCCTGTAAATAATAAAAAAGTGCAATTGGAGGGATAAGAGAGATGATCTGGGATCCAAGCGGATGTGCAAGACCTGAGTATGTCCCTTGCAGCCATGTGAGAAGATAATTGGACACCCAGGGACCTGAAACCAGAGGGTTCCCAGTTACATCCCGAAAGTGCGACAAAAAACATGTTTGTTTTGTGAACTTTATTTATGTTGCGCAACAACAGTAAGAACACTGTGTCCTTTGGCTTCCCCTCATTGTCAAAAGGAATATGGAGGCCTTCAAAAGTCAGCAAAATGTATAAGGAGCATTAAGTGTCTCGGTTGTTGGTTTTATCCAAAGGTCTCAAATTGATATTTTTGCATGGATAGTAGCTTCCAACTATGTGACCTAAAAACTGCTGTATTGAGAATAAATAGATGAATAAATAAATAAATCACAGTTTGAAAGTGACATATCAATCCCTCTGCAGGTTCACTTTAACACAATGAGGATTAGTTTTTGAGCCTCCAAAAATTGGTTAAAATGACCAGATGAAATGCAGATTAGGGGATAATATGAAGAATTGTTATGGTGCGCTCTGAAGTCAGATCTTCTGTGACCCTGAGGAAGAAAATCTGACTTTCGCGGTCAGAAAGTCAGAGGTCACCGAGTGCAATATGACAGCCATGCATGCTAAATCTAGTGAAAGTTGCAGGTGTGCTGTGTGCATAATTATTAGACAAGTGGGTATTTTAACCTGATCCTTATTCTTGGGCATATTGTTTTCCAACTGCAAGCTGGATAAACTTGAATGCTTTATGGATTTAAGCAAATACTGTGTGTCTGTGTAATGAGGGAAGATGAGGCCTAAGGAGGTGAACACGCTACATCGAGGTTTGCATAATTATTAGGCAGCTTCATTTCTTTTGGGCAAATACATAAAAAAAGAGATTTACCTGACTGAAAAATAAAAATAAATAAATAGAAAATCTCTCAAACAGATGAAGCATTCACAAAAATTAAAATGTTAGGTTGTGATCACAGAACCTTTTTAATGCAAATAGTCAAAAATCTACATACCTTTCTTCAGTATTTGGGACCATGGCCTGTTAAGCCATGGCCTTTTATCAGATTTTATGAGTATGTTTTCCTCTTCTCTGTAGCTTGCTGGAATTTTGTCCGACTCGTCCCGAGAGAAATGACGTAACCAAATTAGGTTTGTATGTCTTTGTTTGCAAACATTTTTTTCCCCTTTAATCAGACATTTTATGTGAAATTGAGAAACTGGACCAAAGAAAGTCCACATTCCTCTTGTGGTTTTCTTTTGATTCATGCCACTCAAGCACATGCATTATTCAAGATGCGCTTCGTAATGGATCCACAAGTTTATCTCAAACTAACTTAGATTAAGTAAATGAATGAATCAATCATATGCTTATTAAGCCGTGACATGCAAAACTGGGCATTCCCAAAGTTTTTAAAGGCATAATCTATTCAAAGTTCTGACTTTGAACAAAGTAATATCTATTTGACCAGAAGAGGGCGGTGTATACCAAATAAAGTAAGCATAAGGAAGCTATGTTTGATGTCTCAATTTACCACTTTGTAAGTGCGTTTTGTGACGCACTAAAACAATTAATGTAATGTTTTAATCTATCAGTGCTCTCTCAATTACAAACCATGTACAGTCCAGTCCAGTCGTCCAATCACTAGATTTTGGCAACAGTTTCAAAATCCTGGTATATATTATTGCTAATATTTAATTGGTAACAATGTGCCCCAATTTGCTGGTTGCTGAAGGTGTCTGTCCTCATTGACACAATCTCAAGACAAAAAGAATAACCTACGCCGCAACTGCAAATAAAGTTGCATTTCCTTCTGCTACTCCTTGTGACTATATTTTCAGTTTCAACATCAAAGGCAAGACATGAAATTATACATAATTGTTTTGTTTATTGGGTGCGATAATGGCACCTTTTAAACCATATCCATTGATGGGCTAAATTGCCTTGCAATTGCTCTGGGCTGACAACATTTGAAAAATTCTCACAGCAACTCACTGTGCAATTCTCACTGTGTTTTAAGACTGTCAACAAACAGAGCCAAGGTCGAGTCACACACGTCCTGTTGAGCGCATCCTCAATATCATCCTCATCATACAGAAAGTGTATTATAGTGTAGCAGATGTTACTATGTCGACTAAAACCAAACCTACTTTCAACAGATTTGATTGTGCAGGTTGCACTCTTCAAGAGCTGAAACTAGAAACAGGGCACAGTGAATTGTTGCTGTGGAAGACCAGGAGTGATGACATGAATGTAAATATTTGATCAAAATATTTTTTACTGAGAAAAGTACCAATGCATTTTTGAAGAGACTATGTACATTTGTCTGCTTGTTGTAAATTGCAGCATAGGGTTTTGATTTTGCTGGAGTTTGTAATATAAGGAGTTTGTAAGATGAGCGATTGTTGGTCATGCTTAGAAAAAAATTTAAATGCCCAATGATTGATATTTTTTTTTTTTTTATCCAACTGAAAACCGACAGACCAAAAAAAAAAAAAAAAACGTGTATGAAACAGACACGTCTGAAGGCCACATGATTGATGTTTCAATTCAGAGAGCGAGAGACAGTTTCAGCATGAATCAATGATCCTAAAACATATACTTTCTGTATGCTCAAAGCTGGTGCAATGAATTATTTCACTGTAATCAGGCTTTACAGTTCAATATCAATCATTTAGCTTTAGTTGTTTACTTATAAACTTTTAGGAAGCCATTAGAATGTGACACACATAGGCCACAAAGACTACATATTTTATTTAAACAATCAAGTGAAGGCATCAAGGTTATGTTTTAAAGTAACAATTTTATTGTTATACTTCAATTTGACAGTACAAAACATAATCATACAGTCAGAAACATCACCGGGCACAATACAGCAGCACATGCATACAAGTTGGGACAAAAATAACCCTTCAGTGTTTTACATGTACCATAAGTGGGAAAAAGAAATGATTGCTTACCTATTGGGAAAGGGTTTCTAATGGAGACAAAAGAACTCAAAAAGAAAAGCAAATATGGATTTTCATATATTTCTCTTTAATATCTGTTTTCTTCGTCACTTTCTTATAGTACAGTGCAAGTTCCCAAGCTTTATATTTACTTTGCTTAAACATATATATATTTTTTGAACATTTCTTTATTATATGATACAGTGACAATTTGCAGTTTAATTACAAAAAATACTTTTGAAAACAGTCTTAGAATACATAACAGCCTCATGTAAACTGTAAAATTAAAGCTAAATGCCTTTCAAAGGAAACATGACCGTCAGTACTTTCACTTAATGCCCTTGGAGGACAATTACAAATTTAGCGGCAGTGATTTAGTAACCATTGACTCTTCAAGGAAAATCTCTTAGTAAAAAATAATCTCATTTAAGGAAGCAATATCTGTTCTTTGGTTGATCGAGGATTAATCATCTGTGAGTAAAGAGTCCACAAAAGGTCAAAGTGGGTTTGGCCAGTTTGGTGTGCAAGGTGACATCTCTGGTAAGGATTCAATTATCTGACCAGTTTTCTGTTTTGTTGGTCATTTTTAAGCTGGTAAAGTTAGCAATGCTCATTGTGTCCTGGAAGGATCTGTCCTTAGACAACACAAATATTTTACCACTGCTATGCTGATGACACACAGCTATAAATATCTTTTTTGCTGACATCTTTGTAATCAAGCTCTGTGGTCACTACATGGATGTCAAATGTTGGTTTTCTGGCGACTTATTAACAAATAATGAGGACAAAACAGAGATTTAAATTTTAGATATTATGAAAAAAAAATTTCATGGATATACTTTTTTTGATTTGGCTTTTTATGTTTTTTTAACTTTTGATTAGAAATTTAAATCAGATGCGACTTCAGGTTCTGATCTTCACTTTCAGAGATGCAAGCAAAGAAAACATTTTCGTAATAAACAGTGATGGTGAACACTTCTTCGTCTATTCCTCTTGAAGCACTCTCCTCCCCTCCAAAAAAAGTCACCACCTGAATTTAACTGAGCAAATAGGACTGAGTTCCCTATTCGAATGTTACTACATTGTACCTGATGCAATGAAAACCTTCTCATTTCTGAAACAACCAGATGTAAAGAGACACCCTGTTGTGAAAAAGAGGAAGAAGAAGCTATAGATTTATGTGCAGTATTGTAGCCTTGTACAGTATGGATACTGTCTTTCTTTACATTTCACATAAAATGCTAACTTCATTGTCAGGCAGATAAAAATTAATTGGATGTAATTAAACGTGACCTTTTGGGGACTCTGGGGTTTCCTTAACATTTTCAATATTTATATTTTAAAATTAAATACAAAATAAAAATAAAAAAAGAGTTACAGTTGCTATAGCATAATTTGGGTCATGTGTCACCTAAAAGAATATTGACTGAGAATGTTTGAAAATAAGTATTTGAAAAAAATAAAGCATTGTATGTAAGTAAGTGATTCTGATCTAAGCAAGTTAAATTCTGCAAGGCTATTGCAATCATAACAGTCTATCAACTACAATTAATTATTACATAGTCCTAGTAGGAACATAGAATAAGTTAGAATTCTTCAGATCAATTATTTTAGTCCTAAATCTCGATCAGTAATAGGAATAATCCAAAATAAAATGCACTTTGTTTTAAGAGAATTAATGCTTTGTGTAGCACCTCTACAACATCATCAATTTTAAAATATTGCGTCCTAAATTGCGCCACTAAACATACCATACAATGTTCACAATATCTTTCTGTGTTCATTCATCAGCAGTGACAATGTCCTACTGTTATAAAACACGGGGAGGATTCATCACACTAATATCCAGCAGGCTAAGACTTCCATGCTATTCATTCATGGGCTTTTTGCATTTTACGGAAATAGCAGGCTGAACATCAAATGAACTATTTTACTGAATCCCATTCACAAGCTTGTGGAGAAACAGTAGATAGGGGCCGATGCACAGTTTTACACATCCACTATTAAAATTGAACAACACTACAATTTGTGTGGATTTTTTTTTTCCTCTTTTTTTTTTTTTTTTCTTGGCACTTTTAAGCTCTGCATCCTAATCCCTGTGATCAGTTTACATGGCTGTCTTCTCTCATTAGCTCTTTAGGCTTCTATTTTTGCATGCATCCAGCATCCACTTTGACATTCTTTCTCTCTCACTCCTTCCATTTCTCTTTCTGCAGCTCTCAAACGACCAACCAGTGATGCAGCTGTGTGGGGGGGGAGTGCAGCATGTCCGTAAAGTTAAACACTCTGTAATCATGACAAAAATCTAACAGCAAACTAGCTTTTTATCAGAGAAGTACAAAAGATACATTCTGGAGATCTAACTGTATGCTAAAAAAAGAATTAGGCTCAAGGTTACACTCACAGTGAACTGCCGAACCTCTCCGTTGTCTACCAGATGATGCTCTGTCTCCGGGGTGATAGCATAAGCAAGGCGCTGTTAGGGAAGACTGATTAGTACCTGTTCTTAAGCCAGTCAGCCTCACAAACAAAAATGTATCACTGTACCAAAGCAAGCAAAAGATAAAAAAATATATATTTTGCTTGCTTTGTATGAAATTAATTATGGAGACTTACATCGCAAAACCTTCCTGGAAGTGTGCAGAGCTTGTAGATGGCATACAATGGAACCATGGTCATTGATGACATGGCCAGGCACCACCCTAGCAGGTTAGCCCATTGAGGAAACATGTAGGAGCCGTAATTTGGAGGGTTGAATGTGGCGAAACTAACCACAACCATAAACTATAAGTGGAGAAAAGCGTAAACACAAAATGCCGACTTTAAATAATTTTTCCAAAAACAAAATTTACCAAAGGCCTCAAAAACAGAAACAGAAGTTTGAATCCATGTTTTTGTATGAGCCAGTGGAATTTAATGTAAGCTTAACCGATGTTTGTGTTATAAATCACAAATCTACAGTGGATAGGACTCACCAAGAGGAAGCAAGGGCTAACAAACTTCCAGCACAGTCTCCAGTACCTTCCTGGTCTGTGACCAATCATCTCCTCAATGTCATCACTGAAACGATCCACTCCTAAAACACACAAAGACAAAGATGCAAACTTTTGGGTGGAATTTGGAGTGATAGATAGGGCTGTGGGTTAAACAAGGTGGGAGGAACAAATTTATGCAGGAGCAGAATAGTATTTTCCACAAAACAAATAAAATATGCTGATATTTATGTTCACTCAATAATAATAACCTCAAAATAATCAAAGACTGAGAAACTGATGCTGATGCATATAAAGGTGGTTTCATATATCAACATGTTGATCTAGAATTCAGACATAACAATCTGTGTAAACATAAAATTAAGGCTTATTTAAATTTTTTTAGGATTGATGGGTTACAACAATTTTGCTTTGAACTGCCTCAATTACCTTGATACCAAATGAAAAATGTCTTTTATAAGAGGGTGTTTAGCGCATCGTCCCTTGTTTTATCTGTCTAGGTGTTGAAGACAAAAGTACAGTATAAGTAGAACAATGCAAAAACAAATGTATTATGGAAATTCCTACTATTACATCTAGCATAACAGTTATAAGAAAACACTAACTGAGCAATGCTTAAAGTAATTGTGCAAAGTTAGATAAATTCCCTTCACTCGTTCTTTTATATGTTTTTTTTTTCTTTTTTTTGTTTCGTGTTGCCTAACATTCCTCAGTGTAGAACAATATATCCAGTCTGACGACCAGTTCAGCAAATAATTCTGAAGTAGTGGATAGCAGAATGAAAGACCACAGTAGCCAGAGGGTCAAGAGTTTCTGTCAGTAGTTATAAGGATATAAAAAAGACCAGCAAAAGCCCATTGAGGCCTCGGGCATGATTTATTGGGCATGCCAAGGTCAAGATCCAGCAAACTGGGGTAATATGCTGACCCCCTTTGCCTGGGGGCTTCGTACTACTCAGATCTTTATTCACCCCCCCACTTTCCGGGTTAAAAGCCACAGGGAAGGAAAGTCGGCTCACGTCAGTAGTTCTGCCAGATATTTCATATTTTTGCAATACTTTTTGGCTGTTCATATTTTTTTCAATTTACAGAAAACAAATAAAAAAAATAAAAAAAATAATTATTTGAGACCTTTCGGAAAAAAACATAATGTAAATACATATCTTTTTGTAACCTGTTAAAACAAAGGATTTAGATTTTAAAATGTTTTGGGAAAAAAGCTAAACATTGTGGCTGTTCTCTCTGTGTACAAAGCCTTCTTCCCACACTTAAAAATGATCATGCTGGGTTATTTCTCTTAAAATTGTCCTTAGAAGTAGGAAGTGGTACAATTTGATAAAAAAAAATGTGAGTGTACTTACCATGATGCCATGAACGTATTTCAATGGCAGTATGGTCTGCCATTGAACCATATTTTGAAAGAAAAAAAATATCACAGACTAATTTTAATATTTTAATATCCATCAATCCAAGGCAATTTAAAGAGAAAAGTTGCAGTAAGAAAAAATTTTTTTGGAATGAATGGAAAATCTGCGTCTGCTGGTAGAACCCATGAATCAAAGGAAGAATATACAAATGTCATATACACCCACACACACCCACACCCCACACACACACACACACACACACACACACACACACACACACACACACACACACACACACACACACACACACACATAAAAAAATACCTTGGGAATTATTTGACCAAAACATTTGTATAATGCAATTTAAATTAATAAAATTAAGGTGTCAGTAATTTTATGTCAGAATTTACTGGGGAATAATTTCTTCAAAATGTTGTTGGCAACACTCAAATGAAATGCCAAAAGAATGTTTGTGTAATAAATGACTAGTCAAACCTCAGCTATAACCACAATGACTAAGGCGACTGTGACAGGTGACAGAAAAAGGAAGTGCCTGTTCCTGAGCAATGATTTTTATTGTTTGTTGACTCACCACTGCTGAGTGAGCTGAGAGGAATAACACAGTCACTGGTCAGACTCTCTCTCCATCTGTTCATTTCATAAGAACCACACAAACAGTTTCCCAACAATATGCACAGCATGGGGACAGAACAGAAGAGGCCAATACTATAACCTTCTACCTGAAGCTCTTTTATATCTAATAAAAGGCATGTTGTATTGGAGCACACAACACCCAGACCAAGCAATTTCTCTTCAGACCCTTAATAAAGCATCAGCTTTGCTGGTCATGATGAAAAATGAATCAAGTGGCATCTCTCCTTGTTACTTTAGCTCATCTTTCTCACCGTAGAACCAGGCAATGCCGATAGCTTCAATAAGCACTCCAAAGAGAATTGATGTTCCGGCTGCAAAGTGATCCAGCAGAGTAAACACATACATCCCTCCCTAAAAGAGAAAAAAAGAAACATAATTAAATCCACATAGGTTTAATTTGGCATTGTGAGACATTATTTACAACGTGAACTGCAAATGCAAATATTTGTTTCTTGGAAGGACACTGATTGTAATTAAGAGTTTAAGCATTGCCTTGGTGAATATTCACCACCAATCAAACTAGTATGCCATGCAAAAAGTCTTCCTGGTAAGAAACTCACATTTGTGACACAGAAGAGGGATATGAGAAATGTTGAAACAACAATAAACAGGGTGAACAGCTCTCTGTGTTTGTGAAGGAATTTGAATTCATCAATCAGCCCAGTGATCACAGACTCCATCCCACCCATCTACAGTGGAATCAGAACAAAACACAAAGTGAGAGAGAATCAGACAGCAGATGTTTGCATGAATGTTAAGAACAAAAAAAATAGGAAAATTGAAAATGGTCATTTTAACTTTATTGTAGGGTGAGCTTTCTTAGAAATGAGAAATTAGCTTTGACAATAATTACTGTCAGCTCAATTGGCTCTCATCAGTGTGCAGCTGCATAGAAACTTAAAAATCTTATCTTTTCCTAAATTCTGAATATTATAATATTACCAATTCATGTTAAAGAAAAACACTCTGCATTGTTGATTCTCATTTTCAAAGTTATATGTTTGCAATGAATGTGCAAGAAGCTATTAAACTGGAACTGGTGTTTTCTAATCTAATGGCACTAATAAAAAAATAAATAAAAAAAAGAAAAGCAAACTTGTTTTACTATAACTTGTAATACAAATACACATTGTAACTTTGCTTCTGCTTATGATGAGAAAAAACAAAAAAATATATATGTTTTAACTTTATGTCATAAGATTGTTCAAGACAAATTGTTATTAGTTCAAAATTTTTACAAAAAGCAAATATTAGAAATCGGGTATACAATTCTCATTGTCAAATCTCCAACCAATATGCGAATAAATTACCACCAATGTTGGTAATATGACATCACAGTGAATCGTAAACAGGGCTAGTCCCAAATGACGAAGTGAAATAAGAGATGTGAACGTGAGTCTCTGTGTGTGGATGCATACTCACCGCACTGTCAAGACCAAGTGTCAGCAGCATAATGAAAAAAATCACCGCCCACACTGATGAACCAGGTAATGTTGCAATGGCTTCTGGATAAATTACAAACACTAAACCAGCACCTGGCGAAGAGAAAAATCAAAAAGTAAACAGAAGAACATCACATAGACCAATGATTATGTTTTATTGCACATGTATTAGTAAGAAGTAAAAAAAAAAAAACATTTGGAAAAGGACAACCATGAAGATTCGATGTAGTTTGACAAGTGGCAAGAACTGATGACCAGGCAACTGGACCACAACATGAGTAAAAGTGCATCTTTTTTGGGGGATGTTCAGTTCTACGGTGATCAATGTATTTCAAAAGCACAAGGGAGAGACTGTAGTGAACCCCTAATTGAAGCTTAAGCAACTGGAACAGAAAATGTTTGGTCGAATAGAAAGGTGTGAAAATAAACATTAAATCATATTTTTTTGCGTATAGACACAACATAGTCAAGATGGAAATAATATGCCTTCATTGCAGTGGCCTATTTCAGTAATACGTGTCCATGTTAAACATGATTCAGTAAGGATAACCAAAAACTAAATCAGATCATGCACTTTTGGAAATTATAAAATCATAAGGAAGTGTCCTAATCATATTAATATATTAAACTACAAGGTTGAGGTCTTTACAATAACATACCATCTCTAGCGACTTTGTCTAGAGCCACGTTGTGTTTGTGGGACATGTACCCCAGAAAGGAGAAGACAACAAATCCAGAGAAGAAACTTGTCAAAGAGTTGATGGAGCTGGTTATGATAGCATCCCTGGATGAAACAAAACGCAATGATTTTATACAGATTGACAGCATAAAAACTTCGTTTTAGCCAGAGCACAGTGACATCCTACCAAACTGATCATATCCATTAAAGAAAATGCCGTCTGTTGGTCCAGGGAGTTTCCCTTTGCGTATGCCTTTTAAAAATGCAACTGAAGAAATGATTTAGAAAAAAGAAAATTGACTGTTTTTCTAGTCCTTCTGTTAAGTTGGTAGATGACAAGCTACAATTTAGTTGTTTTTGTAAAGTCTAGAAAAAGGTAAGCAGTGTACATAAATTAATAGAAAGATTCTTGAAAATTAAATAAATTTATGTATAATTTTCTGTATCTTTAGCTCTTTAGCTGAACTGTATTGTCTGTCAGCTATCATAAACAATAGAAAAGCAGAAGCGGATCTGGTTGCTTTTGGATTTTCCAAGAATTTTATACTTTGTCTTATTAAATTTTCAGCCGCATGGCTTCCTGTCAAACATTCCTTTTTTTGTAGCTTCAAAGGTGATTCTATTTCACCTACTAGTACAGCAAGCGTGCTTTAACAGCATGGCAAGTTCTCCACCCCTGTCTGCCTTGATGAACCCCCACCTGCCTATCACTGCATGTGTGTGTGTGTGGGTGTGTGGGGGTGTGTGTACCTGTAACAGTTGTTGCTGAATTTGTTGTAGCTGGAAAATGCAATTAGCACACCAAACCCCACACCCAGTGAGAAACAGATCTGTGTTGCAGCCTCAATCCAGACCTGGGGAGCGAAAGAACAAGCACACTCATATGAAGCGGCAAACAAAAGGTGCAGGAGAGGAAAAAAGCCATTATTTGAGATAATTGCAGGAAACTCATTCAACAGCAGTAGATGAAAGACACATGTGAATACAGGGGGTAATTTTGCAAATTGCTGCTCCATGCATCTATTTAATCTAATTTGCCAATTGCTCCCATAAATTTCTCGGTGTCTCTCCATCAAGGTTCCTCAATCTTGGTCTTGCATGTTTGCTTTTTAAGCTCCATGACACCTAACATTTGTGAATAGACAGTCCTTTAAACCGATAATAATAAAAATCTAGTAACGCTGTTAAGGCATTCATTGGTTGCCTCTGTGAGTCAATATAACTCCTAGTTTAATTCTCAGATTGGTTCACAATCAATCTGAGACAAACAGCAGGCAAAGACTACTTTGTGAATTTCTAATAAATATTAAAACAATATCTAATGTAAAGAGGTGACTTTGCAGAAGAAACTGCATATTTTTACACACAACTTGAAAATGTATAGCAGGAAGTTTGTCATTGCAAAACAAAATATGTACCAAAACTAATATAGAGTTAGAATTATTATTTAATTGTTGTAAAATACTCTGTGCCTTGCATCTGTTACCAGTGAACATCATCTTTCACGTTCAATAATTTCAAATACCTACATTATTCTGTATACCTACTTTCTATAATGCAGTGCATTAGACAACCTAACAGTGCTGAGCCAACTCTTGGCACCTCTGATAAAGTTGTGTGAAAAGTAATAAAATAAGTGATTTTTTAATTCAGGGAACAAAATCTCACACTAAAATATTGAGAAATATCAATCTTTATGCACCTTTTTTAAGTGTGTGTGTGGGGGAGGATTCCATGTAAATAAATAACTGTTTTGATCCAAGTCAGAGGTGGTGCAATTATTTGTACCACTGCTGCTAGTAGTTTGTACATTCTGATTCTGCCTGTGGCTTTTGGGCACAAAGTATGAGGAAAGATTGACTTTAGAATATTTCTTCTTCCACTGTTTCTTTCGTTACTATAGTATTAAGGTATGGGGATCCAGATGGTCGTACACTACCAATTTTTACTTGTCTAGCAGAGGTCGCCTTATTTTAAGATATTGCTTTAAAGAATTAATGATGCCACTGACTAACAAAGGTTAAAAGAGCATTTTGAGAAGTACAGGCCCACAGTGTCACAGATTCTTCACCATACCAAGCGGTGAAGATGCCTTTCACCATTAGTGCATTTGGCCAAAAGACTTGGTCCGATTATGGTTACCGTTACAATCCCAGTAAAGCTTTACAAAGTCCACATGTTTGCATTTGCAGTGATAGGGCTGATTTATTTTTTTTTTTTTTTTTTTGCATTACTGGCAATAACTACTAATTAGATATTCCTAGACATTCTGACAAACATAAAGAATAAAATGCATAAAACTGCTACATGTGCCAATTGGGATTTTATCAACCCAATCTCCACCCCAATAAATTCTCACAAAAAAGACTTGATTTTTCTAAGATTTTCTGTGATTTTTTGTGCAAAATTGCTTCATTAGCTTTGAATTGTTTTACGCATATGTACCAAAAGTGAGCCGGCACTCTGTCTTAGAAAGTGTTTATTAAACATGTAATACTTTCTCAGATTTCAGACATCTTGTCAAGTTGTAGGTTTGTGCTAGAAAAAAAAAAAAAAAAACGAAACAAAAAAAACTGACAAAACATGAAAATATTAAAGCATTCCTTCAAAAGAGCTCTGAGTCGCCACATAGCTTCCCCTTCTAATCTCCTTTGTATCTGTCTGGACTCACCTTGGCATCGCAAAGACTCAGGAAGTCGACAGAGAGGTATGCTTTAATGCCTTCCATGGCTCCAGGCAGAGTTACTCCACGGAGCAGCAGCACAGTCAGGACCACATAGGGCATGGTGGCTGTGATCCATACAACCTTAAAGAGTCACATGGCATACATTGCAGATAACCCAAACCTTTACAGACAGTACAAATAAAAGCTGGCACACAAACATTTAACTAAGAGTAATAAAGGTTTTAGGGCCTGAGCTTCACAATTTTATGAAGTCTAGACTCAAGATGATTGGAAACATTTCTATGTTTCTTTTATTTTACCAATGTGTGCCGTGTGTCCTACCTTGCCTGAGGTCTTGACTCCCTTCCAGAGACTAAAGTAGAGCAGAATAATCACAACAGCCAAACAGGAAGTCAACTGCCAGCGTGGACGCCCAAGGTCATCAATACCATTACTGTCTTGAATATGGAGGACCGCTCGTCTGGGAAACAGACCATCCAGTTTAGGAACATGACCACTCCCTTGTCCCCAGCTGTACATCATATCTTGAAAATAGTTCACGCCGCTTTTTTCATGGTGCCAAATACAGAAATTCTAAAATGTCTCTAAATCGAAGAGGTATGACAAGGGCTACTACCCAACATTAAAACAAATTTGTTTTTACTAAAATGTTAAGCAGCAATAAATGTACTGGAAATTATCACCATCCATCAACCGATACAACATTTGACTACTTTGGAGACTAAATGAGGGTCAGACAAGATACACAAACAGGCAAGAGTAAAACTAACTGTTGTTTTCTAACAAAGTCATGTTTAATTAAATTTAGATTTTGAATAAATGCTTGAATGTGTTGAGAGCTCCCCAGAGAATTTATTTTCTGACAACAGGTGCTGAGAGACATTCAATGCAACAGTGCAGAATACCAATACCTAAACAAACCAATGTCTGGATTTGATAGCTCACAAAATGAGCTTCATTGCTGAACAATGGATCACACCAGACTAAAGGACATTTGTGCACACAGCATGAATTGACCAGTTGTTAAAAACATGATGCATTTCATATATAATGCTTGCTGAAACATCAATGGATTATTTGTGAAAGTAACAGATTTTGTGGTGTACATTTACACTTGATTGTATACTACTGTATTACACACATCATCTGAAAGTATGAATTTTGACATAATATTTGTTATACTTTGGTTTAAGTCTTCAATCAACATACACGTTAAAAGAGAGACTAATGCCATTTATTGAGCCTTTGTGGCCAAATTGTTTGCAGGTGGCTCAGTGAAAATAGCACACTGCCACTTCACACACAGCTATCAGGGATGAAGAGCTTTGACTGTCACAACAGAACGACCCCCCTACAAGCTGAAACAGAGGACACCTGCTCAGCTTTATAATGAAGGAGGTAATGTCAGCTAAATAAAACTTCAGGATATCATATGCGACGTTGTCCTCTGGTAATACTGACTATCATCCTTCCATTCCATTATCCAACAAGCTGAAACAAAGGACACCTGCTTAGTTTTATAATGAAGGAGGCAATATCAGCTAACTAAAACTTCAGGATATAGTACATGACGTTGTCCTCTGAGTATGCTATCTATTGTCCAACACGCTTATCCTTATAGGCTCTCCAGGGGTGCTGGTGACTATCTCCAGCAGCCAATGGGCAAGAGGTGGACAAACCATCGCAGATACTGATGTCAGTAAACTCTTAAGTTTAGTTATGTTTAAGGGAGGGAAAATATGTTTGAACCAAACAAATTAGATTCACAGGTCAACTAAACTTACTCAAAGTACTCCTGAGCAGGTGTGGCTTTGTAAATGTCACCGATGGAGCTGTTGTCGGCCCAGTCTGAGCAGTTTGGGCTGTTCCAGGTGTTGTTGCAGTGGACCCATGGCAGCTCGTGGGTGAATGAGGAGAAGAGGTAAAACAGCGCCCAGGAGATGATGACATTATAGTAGAAACCAACATAAAGGGAAATGAGAATCACTGTGAAGCCAACACCTGCAGGGGACAGAAATGACATTACAATCATTATATAGAATATGGCTAGACAACAAATCATACATTTAAAATGTGTGTATTGCAATAAACACATGATCAATATCAATAGACAATGCATGTGAATATTCCCTGAATTACAATCCAAAACTGCATAGCATTCTGGGAGATGTAGACAGAAGAAAGGCTTCATCGGCTCAACCTCTCATGGTGAGCTAACAAAATGTAATTCAATTCGGGATTAGTAAAAATTTTACAACATTACTATTTATATTGAGCCCCTTAATTCTGATCCAGTTAATATAATGTTGTATAACTAATTATCTCTTTGAAGATCTCACAGTAGCCAAAATGAAAGTAAGTTATTAAATGTTCCGATGAAGTTTGTTTTAGACGTACAGGTAGGACTAAGCTTCTTGAAATGTATTTTACAAAATAAATAAATGTTTTGTAGATTGTTTTGTAATAAATAGACTTACCTTTTTAAAGACGATATTAAATTAGGAATTAGAATTACAGAAAGGCATTACAAGCAGGGTTCATGCAAACAGATTACTTGTTGATAGAAAGGTCCAGTCACACTTGTAACCAACTCTAAAATGTTAATGAACAGAATCTAGAGTTATGTGTGGAGGAATGAATCTGACAGATATACAAATATCTCCAAGGGACTCCATAAATCAGGCTTTTTGTGTCTGATTTATGACACAAAAAGACAGGAGTCGTGTGTATTTTGTTTGTGTCTCTATTGTATTCAAATATCAGGTCTGCTTTTTGGACTACTTTTGAATGTGATGGATGGATATTTAAAGACCAGCTTTCAACTGCATGAGAGAAAAAAAAAGCTGCACAGTATTTTAAATCAGGCTGTTTGATGGACTACCATATATTTCTAAGCTGCTATTTCTACCATGTGCAGAAAATACATTCTGCTTCCATTACTGTGTGATGCAGGACAAAGCGTATTCACTACAACAAATTAAACTTGCATTACATTTGCTTTCCAAAAACTTTTGACCTTTTTTTTCTTGTCATATCTTACACTAATGCTTGAAAAAAGATTTCACAGCAAACAAATAAACAAAAAAAAAAAAACTTTTGCTTTTCTGTGAGCATGTATTCATCTGTAAAATATGCCTGCGGTCTAGAACAAAAACCAAAAACTGAACTTTTAAAGACAAACGCTTCATGCCTTAATTATCAGCACATCTGCCCTTTTCCTAAATCTGAAGCAGTGTCCAGTCTTCTAAGGCTGCAGTTAATTGTTGACCTTTGCTAAGACGTCTGACCACAACTGGAGTTTATTGATATCTTTGTAACGTGGATGTGATATTTGTCCACAGAGCGAACCCTCTTATTAGCACCGCGTGATGCCATGCTATCTCTCAATCACCGGTTTTCACTTCTTTTCTTCAAACGCATTGATCCTGAGAGGAAACCAGCTTGCTGATCAGAATAATTACTGTCAATATGGGCATGCGTACGTGCATTTGAATAATTACTGTTATCCCCCTTCAGCAAGAGAAGCGTGTTATTAGAACGTCAACATACACAGTGTGGTCTCTGACAGGGGGCCCACACTCTTAGACAAACATACTGTAGATAGGAGCATGCACACTGTGGGAAACATTTAGTAATACCAGACAGAAAACTGAACACTGTGAAGCAACAAATGCTCCACTGGTATTTCATTTTCCAAGCACATTCGAATACAAAGCAAAGAACTGAAACGTAAATTTAGGTCATTTTCTTCAAATTACGAAAGAAAACTTCCTGAAAATGAATAAGATCAAAACTACAAGAAACTGAACAAAGATAAAGGCTTATAAAGAGCACAAAATCGCAAACTTTATTTATTTTTTTCAGCCTGAAACTGGGATCAAAAACAAAAATGCATCCAAATGTTTGCGTCTCCATTAGTGTATGTTTGAATTGGCATTCTCCTAAAACAGTGCTTTGCTTAACGATGTGTTGAAAAGTACTCAGTGAGAGAAGCGTGTCAGCCAGCATCACCCCGATTGGACAATCATGGAAGGAGTCTAAAAGCCCAATTTTCATTTGATTTCCATCTGAGTGGCAACAGAACCTGATGTTCTGGGGGATAAATAATGCCTGTCGCTGCTCAAAGAGGAGACAGGCAGACAAAAGAGACTGGCATGTGGACAGGCAGGCATGTGGGCAGACACACAGAAAGAAAAACATGCAGATTTCAAGAGGGGGGTTGTCAAATCAGAATGCAGGCAAATGGACATACAGGAAGACAAAAAAGCAAACAAAATTACAAACATTTTTATTGTGCAAGTGCAAATATGCCTGCACCAACAAGAGTGAAAACAGGATTTGAAATTTAAATTGAGTGTTTATTTTTCTTTCACTTTAGACCAAGGTTTTGGATAGAAAACTTTGGAAGAGGTCACTTAGACTAACACGGGATAATAATTCAGCTGAAGACATTATGGTGTCTGGGTGATTTAATCTGAAACCTGAAGTTAAAGTAATGACCATTTAATTCTGAGGAGAGGGACCAAACACAGAAGTTCTTTTCTTAAATATTATTTTCACCTTCTACCAATTTTAAAGAGATGCTACCCATGTCTTTTTAAATAAATCTGCATTGAAGATAATATATGATTATAGAACACACACATGCACACACACACACAGATATATATATATATATATATATATACACAATTTTTACTGTAACCATCTTTGCTTGAGAGATCAATAAATTTAGATGGTGATGTTTCCGTCCTACCTTTAAAAATGGGACAAATCTTCCAGACGCCTGCTGCTCCCTCTCTGTTGTACTGCCCAAGAGCCAGTTCCATGTAGAAAAGAGGCATCCCTGCTATCACCATAAAGAACAGGTACGGGACCAGGAAGGCTCCTGCACAAAACCAATATGTGCATTTATTTATTTATCATATAAAGGAAGCACAGTCATGGAATGGCATTGAAGACATCTAATTACATCACACAAACATCAAATCCACAAACACTGTCATACAAGAGTGCTGTCTGTCCCTCTTAAAGAGCACCTAAATAAATCGCAATACTAAGAGTTTATAAAGTTTGTTCTTCAACTCATGCTTGTATAATAAATTTATGTGTGTGTCTTGGCAATTTATAAAGCACACAAGAATCTCACTAAACTTTCAAAAAGCTTTAAAAAAACCAACATTAAAATAATGTTCGGCTATTTTCTTAGTAATAATACACATTAACGGAGTATAATTAGAAAAATACAATTTTTAAAAATATGAATATGATCCGGTTGTAAGGTATGGTGCAAAAACTGACAACTGCTAATTGGTTGGATATATTCATACAGAAATAAATCCAACCAATTTCTTTATGCAGCAGGTCACAAATATTCTGTAAATATGGTTCTATCAAATAGGGTAATATTGCATCAATATCATGACACATGACAAAGAAAAACATCAGACTTAAACAAAGGATACATACTAATTTCTACATGAGAAAGAAAATGTCATTCATTTTATTGACAAGACTGTTTTATATTTATTTCTTTTTTGTCTATTTGGTTGACAGTAAAACTTAAGTGATAACGTAACGCCTGAAAATGCCTCCTGCATTGCCAAAGCATTGGACAAAATGTTTACAACCTGAATATTATTTTCAAAAAGTGTTTGTATTTTTCTTATTTGGTCAGTTAGATTAAAATCAAATATAACAGTATGTTTCTCAATGTACAGCTAGGCTATGGTGCATGCTATATGTCAGCCCTTAACATGGCTAGAATACCATTTCATTTTTAGCCACAGCACCACGTACAGCCTCTAAGCATAATGACAGCTCTATGTTAAACAGCCATAATTAGTGACACTGATTGTTAGAGCTAATCTATGCAGAGCAGCTGTGGTGTTTTTCCTCCTAGTTTGATCTCGGCAAACTAGGATATATATATATATATATATATATATATATATATATATATATATATATATATATATATATATATATATATATATATATATATATATATATATATATATATATATATATATATATATAATACCAGTACAATACAGGAAAGAGCTTTTGTGCTTTATCCAGTGGCCGTTCTCACATAAATATCTATCTATCTATCTATCTATCTATCTATCTATCTATCTATCTATCTATCTATCTCTCTCTCTCTCTCTCTCTCTCTCTCTCTCTCTATCTCTCTCTCTCTCTATATATATATATATATATATATATATATATATATATATATATATACAAACACCAGTCATCATGAACAAGCCCATAGGACTTGTGCAAGGCAAAATAAATAATAGATCTCTCCGTCTGTTTAACTTCCTTCCTTGCACCAAAGGCAGCCTTTTGCCTTTTCCTTCTCACCTCCTCCGTTTTTGTAGCAAAGGTAGGGGAATCTCCAGACATTCGCAAGATCCACGGCAAATCCGATCACAGACAGGAGGAAGTCAATTTTCTTTCCCCAGGTCTCTCTTTCCTCCTCTCCAGAGGGGTTAGTCTGGGACGGAGCTACTAAGGTGGTGGAGGTGAACTGGACCCCGTTCTGCTCCTTTACAAGGATCAGCTCCACCTGAGGGACCAGGCTTTGTCATAAGTTTATATTTTACAAACACAAACAAACAAAAAACATGAAGTAGATTTTTCAAGAAGTGAGCAAAGAAACGGCTCTAAAGCAACCCCTCCCCTTCCCCCTGGTGTGTACTTCTCAAATGCAATATCTATGTTCAATGTAGATCTACATGAGCCGAGATCATGCGGACGTACACTGACACATGGAAATGTGTTTGCATTTGCTGAACCAGTTTCAATCTCCTCCTTGGATTTCCCACGCATAACAGATGGTGCTTCTCACCTCCACCACATGCACCAGCCAAAGGTTTTAGTCATTTCACCCGCAACTTACAAACATTGATACAGACTAAAAAAAAAAAATACCAGGAATTAACGAATAAAAGTTTTAAAATATATCAGTAGTTCCACAAAATATTTCCTACTTGCCCTTTTTAAAACTATCCCTCACTTATGTCCTTACCTCTTTGGGACCCATGGTGTTCGGAGAGGATTTTTCTGATGCTGCAAGAGAGGACATCACTTCAGCTGTGAGGTGCCAGTAGGAATAGCAAAAGGAAGTATAGGTGTAGTTGATGAGTCTTGAATGCAGAATGACACAGAAAATACATACAAAAAAAGAGAGATTAATTATTGCCTTTACGAGAAATCAGGTTAATGATACCAACTTAGATAGCTTCCCCTGAGGTGCAGCACACTGCTGCCGTCAAGTCACAATTTCACTAGTTTGAAATAAGATCACATTTAAGTATGAATGTTAGTGAAATTTAAAACATTTAAAGTCACCATAGCATTAATCCAACATCTGATGCATTTGGTTTGAATAAACTGTAGAGTGAACAGAGGATGGAGAAAAAATAACATGGACTGAAGGGTCTGGGCTGAGAGTGACAAGAGGAGATAGAGGAGCTTTTTGAAAAGGTTATCACTTCATGATGGCCATTTTGTACACATGTCTGGACCACAGTCTCTCAGCATGATCTTTACCAGAAATATCCCAACATGCAGTGTTTTATCTTTTATTTTTTGTAAAAAATAAAAAAAAAGGGGTCAATCAGGCATCAAGATATTGTTTTCAACTAGTGTGTTTTCAAAAAATGAAATCTGCCTTTCAAAATGCACATGTCATTTTTCTTGAAGTTTTATTAAATAGGATTTGTCAAAATTTCAAAATACAGTGAGGTGAACCTTAACTTTTCTTTCAAAACTATATTACAATCAAAAGACAAAACACATTTTCAAACAAATAACTTTACTAAAGCAAATCACTTACCTTTTCAAAAATGACAAATCTCCACCAGTTGCCAAACTTGGATGATTTAATTCCGGTGTTTATGCTATTCAGTCTGGTGCAGATTGATGGTGACCATCTTTGTGCAGACGTTCTCCGATAAGTTAGACCAAGACCAGGATTGCAAAATTTAAGCAAAAACACAAATCAACATTGGCTGAAAGAAATACGAAGAGGATTAAGACAGAGAATTTTTACATATATATCAAAAAAAAAAAAAAAAAAAAAAAGATGACAGGAACTGGCAGTCTGATGAGATGTGGAAATATCTCCCACCCTCCTGGTCGCTGGTGGCAAGACGCAGAGATCAGAGCACCCTGTTGTCTTATATGGAGATCTGTCTGCGGGACCTCTCTTGAAATATGAGGAACAATCAACAACACTCCCCCATCATCGTCACTCTCCTCCCTCCCTCTGTCCTCACATGAGCTTCATTCGTTCCTGCTGCTCTCTCGCCCATCACTGCATCTTCTTACCTGATCTGAGCATTTACTCATCTCCTATATACATTATGTACATCTGTCTGGTAAAACCTATCAATCTTGTGTGCAAACATTCACACAAGACTCTAACATAAGTGTCAGTGAGGATTGTGTTTCACTCTTTTTTGGCTTAATGGGAGGAAGAGCAAGAGCAAAACTCAAGTTGGGGTCTTCAAACAGTGCTGGGATTTAGTCACATCTGACTTGAGGCACTTTCCTGGTTTTACACTAAAAGGGATTTATGCCAATAGGAGCTAAATCGATGTAAATGCCATCAAAAACTTAATTTAGTTAAGAAGTTAGTTTCAATAAGTGAAATTCTTATTTCGTAGATTTCTCAAACTCAGATATACTTGTTGCTTCTCTTCATTTTGACAAGTATCACAATTAATAAAAACCCCAAATTATGTTGAAATGTTAGATAACATTTCTGTATTTCATTTAATACTGAATGTAGTGCATTTTTGACAATAAGGCCATTTAAAGTGTTAATATGATCAGGAGAAAAATAGAACAACAAAATTAGCAAAAACAAACATTTTGCTGTGGCACATATGTTGTAGTTGTTATTAATAGAAAGCAACTCTAAACAAATGCGGTTTTAGCCTCGATTTGATGTCTAAAGTTTACAGTATAAAGTTATTTGTGTATTTGTGTATTTTTATGTCCGTCAGATCCACAGTCCTGCTGAGAAACAGCAGGTATGCTGAAGTAGCTCAGATCTCTTAATCTTTTATAAATAAAACAGTGCTTTTGCAATTTTCTTGAAGTTTTAAAAAGTATTTTTGAATCAAATTAAAAGTTTGTTCCAGAGTCGTTGAGCATAAAAAATGGGATAGACCAGACATAGAGCTTTATGTTTGGTTTTGATTCTGGTTAATGCAGATTTGAAGACATGTGGCCTGGAGAGTTGATAGAATAAGAGTCTGATAGCAAATCGGATACATTTATATCAAGATAATTAAACCTGGTATTGGCACTTCTGGCAGTGTGGACAGGTGCCAAATACAGTTTGTTAGTAGATGGATGCATGTGCAAATGGCAGGGCTGAGTATGGATTTAATAAAACACAGTTGGCCAACAAATGTTGTAGGTGAGATGATGAGATATACAAGATTATTTCCTGAGAAATTGAACTCGTTATTAACATGAACAAGAAAAAAAGAGAAACAATCTTCAATTACTTAATTTTCTAGAAAGATTCTAAACTTCACTTTAAATTAAATCACTGAAATAATTTTCTGAGCTGTATTTCATTTAATACTGAACGTAGTGTTAAGCACACCGAGGTCTTGTAGGCTTGATAAAGTGCTATACAAGTACAGCCCACTTACATTTACCATGTAAAATTATCACCTTCAAAAAGGTTTGTGCTTAAGAGGCTCATCATCTCAATTCTCAGAACAAATAAAAGCATAAAAATAAATTTTACTTTGCAAATTTAAGCAATGGAAAAAGGAACCGTAAGCCACCTGCCATAAAGCCATTTCCCCTTTTTGCCTTGGTCTCCACTACCTCCAACTCAGTGAGCAACCAACATGCCTTGCAGAACCATAAATCTCATTATGTGTCATGTTCAGCGGCTTAAACACAATAATTCCCAACATCCAGGCCTCTCCCGTTTGCAGCTCAACCAAAACAGGATCAGGACATCAAATAACACAATCAGCTCTCGCGCCACGGACAGATTTAAGGCCTGTCGCATTCACAATGACAATTTCTTGTATGCAAGCCAATCAAGTTGATCAATTGGCCACTAATCCCTAAATCTGCTGCCTCCACAATGTACGCACCTTTAAAGTGCAACCATCAATCAATCCTCAGGCCTCATAGCAGAAATTGTTGGGTCAATGCAAGTCGTGCTGGAAACATGAGATTTCGAATGGAGCTTAATCGAGTGTCTTGTTTTCATAAATGCAACAGCTGAGACCCAGTGAGAAAGAGAGCAAGAGCAAGGAGGGAGCAGAAGAGGTGAAGATGAATGAAGTGGAAAGGTGAGATGGGAAAGGATGCATAGCTGGGAATGAAAGGAGAACAAAGAAAAATACACGGATTAAATCATTCCGTCTTAGAGCAACACAGTGGATGTTTTTTTCTCCATTCTTATTTTTGTTCTGCTTCAAAAAACTGCTCAGAACATTCCTTTTTCCTGACTAATGTCTGGTTTTACAACAAAAGAACAAAAGATTAACAAGGACAGTTATGTACACGTCATGGCGAGCACTTATTTGAGACAATTAAAACTTTGCTTCTCAAGCCCAGAAAACCATGTCAGACACAGAACAACACACTGCAGGTCTCATTTAACAATTCAGTTTTAGACCACATAAACTCATATCAAAAGTTATCCTGAAGCACTTTACAAGTCAAACAACCCTGGCTTATTTAAAAATACTTATGCTCAATTAAACCATTACAACAGATAAAATTAACTTAAAAAATTAACTGTCACAATAAATTTAGCACTAACAACATTCAAATGAGATTAGTCATTTGTAAGTTTTCTGATAAAATCGTCTGAAACAATACTTGAGACATTTTTCTGCCTCACTACACCTGCATGTTAACATTTGTCGCAGTACAACAAAATTCCCAATAAATCTTTTGTTTTCACAATCTTCATTTGGTTAGGATTGTGGAAAAATAGTAAAAGTGGAAGATGGCAGCAACGGATGGCAACTGAAGTCATCTGGTTTTAATGTGCAAACGCTCTGGTGTGTTGTAAAGACAAGTGGAAAGCTGATTTTAAAGAAAGGGTCAAACTTAAGTCAGTAGCATAAAGCTAATGCCTTCAAGAATGAACAGCAGTTCATTATGTCGTCACAAGAGGGAGACATTAAACAACTGTTTTCCTTAAACTACATTGGTTCAAATGAGCATTTTCTGATTTTTGTTGATGGAATGAAACAGAAAAAAAGACATCACAAAATACATTCAGTTAATACATTATGCTAAGCGATATTTGGAAATGTTTTATTTACACTCCTATTTTTCATACTCTACAGCACCTTTAGAGTGATATACATATAATGTTCTAATAATGACAAACACAGCTGCATATTAACACTTTGTCTTTAATTTCATCCAAGAGTCACATTAACAAGTTACATAATAGCCATCATGAACAGATTCAAAATAGCTTTTTTTGTAATGTCTCTTTAGCATCAAAATGCAGTAATAAAATAAAACTTGTTTGATATAGAAAAAGACTGGAAATAAAACTAGACGAAGAAAAAAAAATCAAAATATTTCAGGTGATTGACGTACAATAAGCCATCAGAAAGACAATATCACTCTGTAAGAGTACACCAGTCTTTCGTCTTAGGCTCGCTGCAGAACAAACTGTGACAGGCAGCAATAGCATAAATACAAGTTTGTCTCTTTCAGGTTTTACATTTTCCTCACATGAAGATTTCATGTTTGAAAAAAAAAAGATAAATCTCTACAGAGGTATTTATAACAAGGAAAACTAAATGAAAACAAATGTATATTAATTTAACCCCCAACATATTGCTCTTTTTAAATAGTAAAAAAAAAAAAGTTTTTGTTTTGAATATCCGAGGATGTATAATCATATATTATGTTTAAAAACAGCATATTCATTCTGGGACAAAACTTTGAGAATTTGCTCTGTTTTAATGAATTTCAGTGACAATAACATCTTCCTTAAATGCAGCCTCTGTATTGACAGCAGAGTTCTTTTGAATTGCATTATTTAAGGAAACTTTTAATGGTGTAAACATAATCAAGTCCTTCAAATCTTTTTTCTGACTGCCAACTCCTATGAGTTTACATAATTACTTTAGGCAACTAATTTCCACAATCCTGACAAAGAACAGTAGGATGAGCTAAGGAAAGAACTTAAAATGATCTAAATACAATCCTCAATTTTATCTGCGCTCCCTTTACAAAGGAAAGAAGTTAACAGTGAATTGAAATACTGAAGACTATGACCCTACTGCGCTTCCGAGCTTTCTGACCTTATGTTTACAAAAATAAAAGCACTGTAACGTGCAAGCACAAACTCATACAATTTTGAAAAAAAGTAACAGCAGGACAATGCTTTAAGATTGTCATAAATCATAGGAAATGATGGTTTTGTATGCATGTGCAGTCTGGAGTGTTTGTGTGACGCCGGCCCGTCATGTGGTGGCGCATCACCTCAGGGCTCTACCACTCAATGCACTCGCACTTAGTTCAACCTGCACATCTCAAACAAAACAACAAAACAAAACAAACAAAAAAGAACTAAAAATAAATTCTGGAAAACCATGACGTCTTAGGAAAATGTCCACTGGAGATCAGCACTATAGAGAGTTTCTGATTGTGACAAGATTGTCTGTACATTCTCTTTTTAGCATAAAAGTTCTGTAGAGGCTATCAAGGCTATAGGTTTCCATATGAAATCTGCATTTTGTTCCTAAGCAGTCGACTCGGCGACACCAGTAATAATATAGCAATAAAATTTTACACTGTGTAGGAGCAATAAAGCACAAAATAACTAAGATTATTAAAAAAAAAGGAGAACAAAAAAATGTGGCTCATTTGTCATGATCAATACAAACTGCAGAGCAGAGAAGATCACAGATCTTTGTCATGGCAGTGAAAAGAATAATAATCATTCATATACGTATATCAAAAATTCACAAAATGTCCCGCATCTGGAATATTCAAAATACATATTAGAACTTTTAAAAAGCATTCATCTGGAGAAGGCTAAACATATGAGGAATATTGCTTTACTCAAAGTCGTAGAGGAGGATATATAAAGGATACAAGGTCACGGATAAAATGGAAATGTGACAAATTTAGAGTTTTGGAAATGATGGTGAATACAGACAGCAATGTGAATCACTTGATTCTCTCAGGGGAGGTATTCCCTTTAAATATGATCCTTCAGATGATTGGCAGAATGTAAAGTTTAAGAGAAGTAGATATGCAAGTTGTTATACTGAATGTTTCTGTAGAACAAAGAAAACCAAATATGTCAGAAAATTACTAAAAAGTGATCATCACTGGCATAATCTGAAGGAGGTAAAGTTTGATAAAAAATTTAGGTGGCAGCTGTGTATATTTAACATTTTTTTAATAAAATACCAGCATAATTGAAATTCAAACATTTGCTAATATTACTAAGACAAACCTTCATTAAACCAATATATAGATTTTAAATCTAAAAACAATGCAAAAACGAAGGGGTGCACTGATTTATTGGCCAGCTAATTTATAGGTGCAGACTTCCTCAATTTTGAGAGATTGGTGATCGTGATACTTTCATGTGAAGCCGATCTTATCCACACCAATTTCAATCAACTTCATCAAAGGTCTAAAATTCAGCCACTGCCCTCTTCTGCTCTGCAGTGAGATCGGTTTGACTGACAGACATGTATGCAATGTCTCCAACTCAGCGGCTTTCTTGCTATATTTAGCAACGTTTCTGACGAAAAATTGGTATCAATCAAAATTGGATTCTGCAGGCCAGGCTTTTTAAAGTTTGGCAAGCGGCCAAAACACTGCAATCAGTGCACCCCTACAAAAATGACTGCCTTATCTTAGAGATCATGATCCTTAAAAACTTGTGATGCAAAAAAAAAAAAAAAAAAAGATCTGAAATCTTCTTTCTTTTCGTTTGAATTTTAAAAGTAGCTCCTCTTTAGTTCTGGTTAATTCTGAATATATTTCATACATGTACAGAAATCAAAAGAGTACAGAGTCCCTCAAACTAAACCCTGCTCACCGACGCATTTTAGCGCGACAGTTTGCTCAACCTACAAGTAAACTTTCAGAATGAGGTTTAAAAGCCAACAGAGGTGGGCTCTTCTTTATTGTGCGACAGGTACAAATTCTCGGATCCACCTTACTGCATAATGAAAATATTTCCTTTGGTGAAGATCTGAAACATGGTGGATATTCTGGAAGGTTAAATATTTCAATATTAACTGGAAATAAAAAAATAATAAAAAAAGTACAATATGATCCGTTAGATAATAAATGAACTCAGAAAAATGTTCAGTAAGTGGCTCCAATGTTTTCTTTTAACAATGTAACACTGAGAAGAAAGTACCAAAAATTCTGGTGATTGTTTGCTTTCACTGGTCGCATGCCATAATTTGATCCCTTTTAACCGGTTACAAGACTGGGTAGGCATATGCTGGTCACGAGAATCAAGATATACCAATGCTTAAAATATAATGGGTTTGGAATGAGAAAAAAAAAAAAAAATCTTAGCATTCAAAGGGAGAGTAATACAGTGCTACCTCTCCTCAAAATGCTTTCAAGACAAACAAAAAAACTATTTGATGAGTTCATTTTTTTGTTCTTTTTAACATTTCAATATGGTGATACAGTGAAAGAGTGGTTGCTTTGGTATATTTTGAGAGTCTCATACCGGCCCATGCCTACATGAAAGGCAAACAAAAACACAAAAAAAGATGTTTAATTTTTTTTCACCTAATGCATTTTGGTCCAAGTTGTACATTATCAAATGAAACAAAACACTGAAATAACCAAAACGGTGTGAAACTGTGAAGCGACAAGGACAAGAGATCAGTTACCATGCATGTAACCTAAAAATAGTCAAAAACCATGACATCATTGTTAATTTTTCCATTTTTGTCACTGAACCCTGAGCTACATCATATCACTGTGTTTACAAACACACATTCATACACACGCGCGCACACACTCACAGCAGTTATAATTGTCGACGTTCAGAGACCCGAGGTAACCTCAAATACGGCTGCTGAAGCTTCGTGCTTCCAGCCATTCCTCACCGGTTCCCCCGGGCCTTCCTTCTTCACGGAAATAACATGAGCCCATTTATTCTGCATTTTCATTTAAAAGTTCAAAAGGCAGCTACCATTAAAGAAAGGAAATGGATAAAACATAACAAGAACAAAACAAAAAATAGATTTCACAAAAAGTTGTGTTCTCTTTACAATTCAGAGATTGTTTGCGTCTCGGTAAATTTGTGTTAAAAAAACATGCAGTGGCAGGGGAGGACAGGTAAAAATAAATTAAAATTGACCCCAAGAATCCTAATAAGTGCTTGCCCTTCAAGTATTTAAGCATTGTATCCCAAAAAATGCCAGTATTTGGCATTACGACAATTCTTCCTATGGGGAAAAAAAAGGTTGTTTACAGGCTGAAATGAAAATAACCTCATGGATACAACACCAATAAGAAAGGGTAAACTTCATTTTAAATTTGTTTAATGAAATGCTGTCTCTTACTATGTGGAAAAGTTACAAGGTAACTAATATTGCCCCTTACAGAATTTCCTCTCACCAGGAGAGGCCCTGCTCCCTCTACTCTATCAGTTGTGTTTCTTTATGAGTGCATCTACTGAGCTGTCATGGTCTTTAGGGCTAAAGTCAGGACAGATACCATTGGCTGTTTTGCTGTTGGCAGTGCCTTGCAGGTTTATAGTCGATGGGTTGGTCTGAGTGTGGTGTTCCTGACAAGGTCCACTCTGAGGACCTACACTTTCAGTGTGAAGATAGTCATCAGCAAAGTCTGGGTTCTCCTCCACAAAACCTCGGAACTTATCTGAAAAGACCACAAGGGGGAGCCAGAGTCAAAGACAACGTTACAAGCTGGCTGAACTTGAAATGTTTAGACTGTGAAAGACCATCCCTGCTTTGACGGCAAAGTTTATAACAGACAAGAGCGTTGAAGTGTTTGGAGGATTGTTTTACCAAATGTAATCTTCCCCGTGTCATCGACATCGATGGCCGTAAACAGACGGGACACGTTGAGGTGAGTCACTCCTAAAGCCGTCTTCAGCACAACTGCCAGCTCGCTCTCTGTGATGGCACTGTCTTCTTCTGCCTCAAACATCTGCAAAAGAGGAAATGCATATCGAACAGTTCATTTAAAAGATTGTGAAAATGTATATGTCTACTTGGTTCTGATGCACAATCACATTTCATTCTGATGAAACAGAGCTCTGAATATCAGTACACCGAACCTGGAAAGTAATGTTTAATAAACTGACAGGTTGCACTGAGAAACAAACAAAAACAAAAACAAAAAAAGAGCATCATACTTCTTTGACACTCAAATCACCAAGTAGCACTTGAATAGAACTAAACTCAGGCCAAGTCAAGAAACACAGTGCCTTATTTTGTCTGACGATAAGATCAGCACACAATTTAATCTTGTTCCATTTGCCTTCAATCCATTTTTTTCCAAGTAAATAATTAAGCACAGAAAAAAAATCAAAACCTACCTTAAAAGCCAATTTCATCGTTTCCAGAGTTTTGGAAGGTCTGCATACAACGGATAAGGCTATCACATACTCTCTAATATCCATGCTGTTATCTTCATGCTGTAAAAAAAGAATGAAAACAAGCTATAATACAAAAAAAAAAAGAAGTTTGCTGCCACCAAAAAACATGGCAAACATTTCTGCCCTTCCGGCTTTCTGGCAGTCAAATAGGTTTGGCCCTCTCACTGTAAGCAGCCTGATTGAGCATACGTAAAGGAAACAAAAGGATAAATCAAATTTAAAATGGAATTTGCTTAAATAGTGTGTTCTAAATTAAATTAATTTCTCATATGCTGCAAATCCTGTATGAGCTCACAAGAGAACCATTACATGGGGTTTGATTTTAGTAGAATAATTTGGCCATGTAAAAAAAATTGCTACCTGGTTTCACAAAGTGACAAAGTTTTCCATCAGTTTTCTACTCCCAACATCTCGACCAGCATATACTAGATCACATTACCAGGATTCATCATGGTCAAGTTGTCTGAGGATTTTGTTTTTCCAAATATATTGGCTCTGACCCCCAAAGAGGTCAGACTAGAAATTGATTAAAAACCCTTGATAATGTGTTTGGTAACATTCTGAACAAAATCCAGAGAAACTATTGATGCACATCTAGACAAAAAAATTAATCTTTTGAAATGCAAAGTATTGCCATAGCAATATGTTTCCTAAGAAAGTATAGATGGTTGAATAAATGCATAGTTTGAGATATTGTATTTTGCTTTTTAATGTGTACAGATACACTAACCACGAAGTTCTGAGCACTCACAGGACTATTTGATAATTACAGATCTATTTATTTTACCCATCTTCCTGAACTATTTTTTTTTTCCTTCACAAAACACATACTTATCGAGCTGTAGCTGTGTGAGTGAGGTCTTTACCTCATCAAAAAGAGAAAACATGTCACGCAGCATATCTGAAACTGGGACATCAAGGAAGTGAGCAAAATCTTCCAAGGCAAGTTTCTGCCCTTCCAGCTTTCTGGCTCTGTTCCCGTATTCCTGCAAAACCTTCTCAGTGTTCTGGGGTTTCAGCCTGTGACAGCATGGGAGGAAACACTTGTTTAGGATCTGTAAACTATTATGCATTATGTGAGCAAGAAAACATTGTCTAATTACTTAGAGAAAAGAAGGACAACTGATGCATTGAGAAAGGATAATTTTCTCTCAACTGCAAGGGCAATTTTGGTTGACATTTAGAGTGGAAAACATCACTGAAGTTTACAATACTTTTAAAAGAAGAAGTTCAGTCAAATCTAAAGTAGCTAGAGAGGAACTGGAACTCTTTTTCCGGCAGCTGCTCATCACAAAAAGCACCAATCCACTGCAAACAGTTAACTGGTGCATCTTACAGTGTGAAGAATCTATCCTAAACAAAAATCAGACAATGAGGTTTGAGTATGCAACACTTATTTACAATACTGCGGCCAAAAAACAAATCCCTGCTGATCTCCTGCTGTGATTTTCATTGTCTCCCATTCATGCCCTTTACTTGTTCTCTTAAATATGTGCTATGCATTGGAAAACTTGACTCACCCCAGTCTCCTGACAAGCTTGGCAAACTCCAACAGACAGGTGTCGACCGGCAGCCTCAGCTGGCCCTCTGCCATCGCCAGCTGGCAATCTTCAAATGAATAATCTGTGATAGGTACCCCAAGGGCTCTGAGCGCACCAGAAATGACGGGACAATGACAGGACAAATCAATTCTTTGCTTTAGGTATATGTTCATATTATGGAAAAGATTTATGCTTCCATCTCAAACGTATGAAACTTTTAGTGATCACACATCAAATCCTTATGATTAAATAGAGGGATTCTACAAATTTGTGGCTATCTGAGCTTCTTTCTGTTACATGTGGTGATGTGCATACCAAAGTGCAGAGTACAGGATGGTATAATTTCTCATATCTGCCAAAACAATCAATACATTTCACTTACTTGGCCATGACTCGTCTCACATTGACTGCAAAGAGAGCAGGATTCCTTTTCTCCTCCTCCGAAGGGGTGTAAATGGGAAGGAACTGCACAAAAAACAAAAATAAAATGTGATCTGTTCATCTATTAAGAGGAATAAAAGTATAAATTTAACAAAAAATTGAATGACAAAGAACCTGAGGGTCAAATTCTTGCTTTTAATGATTGACAAATATCCAGTAAGCCATCTTTGACAATGAGAGAAAAATGTGCACATAATCCTGCTTTAATACTTACCTCTATCACAAATTCATTGTGTAACTGGCAAAGAGTCAGCCACAAGATTTTAAAACTGAAAGGCAGAAAGATAAAAATCATAAGTGACGAATAAAGACACATACAGAAGTTTCTATGACAGCAACAGTTTGCTTAATGTTGTGCAACATTTTGTCAAATGACTAACAGTCATTTGACAGTGAGGCCAACTAACAAATAATAAGAGCATTCAACAGGTCTAAGTTGTAATAATAGTGCTAAGATGAAAACTGTAAGCACTGGGTTTCTTTCTTTTACTTCTGCAAATGTCAATTTTATGACATCTAATTTCTAAAATGGGTTGCAATTGTTTTTCGGTATATCAAAAACAACTTGTGCATTTTGAATGAATCCGAGACCATGTCAAATTTTGTAACACATTTATTTAATTGTTTACCTCTCCACAAAATGCTTATTTCTAACAACATTGCTAACACACCCTTGACCATATAATAATAATTACGGTATTAAAAAAAAAAAAAACAGTACGTACGCTCCTGGTCCTTGCCACGTCCATGTGATTGTGTCCTGTTAAAAACACATACAATATATATATAATAAATTATGCTTATAATAATATAATATAAAATATATATATATATATATATATATACTTATAAACTTACCAGTTTATTGGGGTAGCGAATCACAACAGGCTGTACTGGAACACCAGGGATAAAAGCCCCTAAAAGAAAAAAAGAAAAAGTTTAGATAGATAAAATCATCATAGCTAAAATTCTGGAAACACATAAACAGAACCATTGATATATAATGGTCAAAGCCAGATTTCTGTAGTTTATAGGTCATAAATCTACCTTTGGGAATTTAATAACGACTTCGACTATTATTTGCTGATCACCCTTAACGTGTCTCTGAGGTTCAAAAAATATCTTGTAAAAAGTATTTTGTTATTTTGAGCAATGTAAATTGAATATACAACAGAGATGAGGCAAAGCAAAAAAGTATTTTGTGGATTCAAAACGACAAAAAACAAATTCAATTTAAAATGAAAAAAAAAATAATAAAAAATGTTAAATTCTTTTAAAAATAAATTTATTTTTGATTAATAAATAGCAATATATATATATATATATATATATATATATATATATATATATATATATATATATATATATATATATATATATTTGGGGGCTGAAATTCTTTTACGGGGCCAGAATAAAGTAATACCGTAATATGTTGTGAGTTCATGCACTATGTTAGTTTTGTTATTTGAGCAAGGTGATGTTCATGCATGACTCATTTTGTGCACCAGTAAAAAAATAAAAAAAAACATACCCATGTCTTAAATTTGGGAAAAAAAAATTATTTTATTTATCACTAAAGAAGGGTACAGTGAATGCGCATACAAAACTGGTGTGTTTGGTACCTCAAAAAAAGTTTAAGAACCACTGCTCTAGTGGCAAACAAAACACTGATTTCTGGTTAGAAGCAAGTCTTGAAATCAGCTGTATGGACAAAGTTTCGACTGAATGCCTGGAAACATGTTACCTGGCTTAAAGGTAATGAGGCAGGATCTATTGGTGCAGGTGCCTTCTGGAAAAATCATGACCTAAAAGTAAGAATAGGAAAATTATCACTGATTAAACAATATTTTCTGTCATTGTTCATGCTACCAGGAACAATAGTGTTTACCTTCACTACAATATGTAACACGGCAAGTAATTTATCCCAAAACGATTCACCAAATGTTACTATGAATCATTGTGTGACTCTAAGTAAACTTGTTTTAATATCTTTTCATTTTAGAAAAAAAAAAAAAAACAGTCAAAAAGATTTAGCAGAACTGCAACCACCTTGGTAAATTAGACGAAAACAAAACAAAACAAAACAAATGTTTATGTTAAAAGATGCTTCTTTTGGGGGAAAGAAATTGCAGTTTTGTAAATCAACTTACTTGAGGCCAATCTCCTCCATAATGAGCTCTCCGCTTGATCTCCTCCACTGTCTTCTTTCTTGAGTTCTGGTCTGATCGGGATACAAACACCGGCCGAATGTATTTTATCAATGCTAGAAGAGACGAACAGAGTTGAAAAATGAATATATAACACAGTTAGTCAAGAAAACGTTATTTCAACAAAGTAAAAAACAGATGAGCAAATAAGTTAACACCAAATCACTCCTGACATGTCATGTCAAAGATGGTCATCGGCAGACATTTTTACAAGTCTGCAGTACAATAAAATAAAAATTAAAAAGCAGAAGATTGGGGGTGTATAACCTCTCATCATGGAAACTTTAAAAATCAGTTATATTTGACTGAGCGCAACATTAATCAGTAAACCCATCCGTGTTATGTTTGGGGCAAAGTAACCACAATTAGTCTGCTATTTTAAATACATCTGTGAATGTTAGTAACGCTTGTTCCTCAAAGACAGAAAAGTCTGAGTCAGAATAGCCTCATCTTCTGATCTTAAATGTAAGATAGGTTTCACTTCTTTTTATAAATACAGTCAGTAAATACAAGGCCACAAGTGATCATTTAACCTCATCTTAGTTTAATCAAGCTCCACAATGTCACTGTTCCCCATTAACAAACTGCATTGTTTCTTGCTAGTATTTGCATAGCTATTTTTATATACAATGACACATGACGGGAATGAAGCAACGCAGAGTTCAGTTTCTAGTTTAACTGATAGTTGTAAAGTAGTGGCCATGAATTGCGGCCGCTACAAAACAATTAGTAATTGTGGCTAGTCAAAATAATAAGCAAGTTTATATAATCTGAGTCTATAGCTGAACTTAGAGTATTTGAATTCAAAGACATTTAAATAAATAAAAAAATATGTAAATTAATGTAAAACATTAAAATACAAATTATTAAAAGGAATAATATCATTTACAAAACTGACAGTCTATAAATTATGTTAAAGGAGCCTTTGGTGGAAAAATTAGCTGGACTGAAAATATTTGAATATTTTGTTGTGGAAGCAGACACTGCCTACTTTTATGTCTAATGTTGGTTAATACAGAACCAATTTGTTTAAACAGACATAGCATGGTGTATTTTGATGCTGCTGCTGGCCATCCAGATAATTTTCCAGTGAAGCTGTTAATGCTTTTCCTTGTACTAGCTGTGTCTGTCTTCCTTGATTTTATGCAAACTAACTTCCACCAAAACAAAACCCAAACAACAGAAAACATCACTGGTTACACTGGGTTAGTACTTATAGAATTATTAAAACTAAGGCTATATGCTTTAGCAAGTTTCCCACTCTATAGGTGTGGAAAAGTGAAACAGATGTGTAATGTGATAAACCCAACTAAAGTTTAAGGAAAATGTACTTTAATTAGGAAGAAAACAGTCTAAATTGGTTAAAAAAATTTCAGACCAAACACAGCACACTGAGAAATGATTACAAAATGCAGCTTTCTATTACTTCCTGGATCTAAACTCCTTCACTTTCATAACATTAAAAAGGTAAACATTAGCTATTAGCACTATCAAAGGCATACTGCACACAAAAAAAGAACAATGAATATGACACTGGGTTAAAGATTAACATGACAGTTGTATATTTCTTGATATTTTTGAATGTTCAAGCTTCACCAAAGCACAATTGGAAACCAAATCTCCCAGACATGTTTGAGAAAAAATAAATTAATAAAGAGCATGAAAAAAAAGAGAATAAATTTGAAAAAAAAAAAAAAAAACATGAGGTGGAACTACATGAAGCAAAAGCTGCTTGTGATTGAGTTTCCCACTGACAGGAAGGGATTAATGGTAGCTCCTTCCAAAAGACATTCTGCACACGTGACTGCTGATCATGTCTTAATGCTCATTATGGGTTCCACATGCTTGGCAGGCTCTGCTTCTTGGCTCCGTTCAGAGGCAATAGGACTGAAATTTAAGATTGGCAAGTCTTATTATTTTTACATTGTCATGACTGTTTCAGAGTCAAACAAAAAATAAATAAATAAATGAATCTAGTATTGCACATATTTGATACCTTAGAATACTATAATGCACCATCCCAGCATATTGCAGACTGTTGATTCAGACACACTGCCAGAAATATTATGCACCGATAGTATGCCGTTTCAATCTTGCAATGCAAGCAAGTAAGAGCGTTTAACTTGGCTGAGCTCCACTCAGCCTGGAGCTAACAATGTGGCAAATTGCTGACTTAGTTGACAGGGCAAGAGGAGGTGAAAGAGAGACTAAAATAAGACACAAACCTTGACTGGGTCCTGCTTAAAAGTATACATGATCCAATGTCTTCACTGGCAGCTAGAAGGGTACTTTCACATGCAAGCCACTTAATAGGATATGTTGTCAATGTGGTGACTACAGTCTGCGACTAAGGTCTACCTGATGTCTGCGTCGGGTCTGTATAAGCGACTGGTCTCGGTCTGGATAAAATTAAATGAATAATAGCAGGAGAAAATAATATATTTACTTCAAATAACGCTGAAAGTATTTTGTAGGCGTCATTAGAAAAGTGTCTCCTTGTCAAATATTTATGAACAAAAGCGCAAAATTTATTTAGCAAATTGAAATTTTTAAACTAAGACTAGCTGGAATTCTAAATAATTAAATGCGTATTTGAAATTAAAAGTTTTCCTATTCCTAGAATAACTGAGGACATTTGAGTGTTGCTGTAACAACATTCAAATGTAGGTATAAAATTATGTAGGTAAATGCATGTTTAAATTAACAGCTTACCAAATTAACTTTTGGGAACGCTGAACATTTTCACAATGATTTTACAGTTCAATCTCAAGCCTGTTCCTATACACACACATACGTTCTCTTACACACTGCTAAAATGTGGGGAAATGTTTCAATCCTATCTATGGTCTAGGTCAATAGTGACCTTTGTTGTCTAAATGTGGTGAAATGTATACTGTGTTATTTTTAATAAATGGACCAAGATTGTTTAGTTAGTCATTGTGTTGACCCGATTTGGATTGTTTCCTTTATGACTTTCTAGTAGCAGTCCTTATCGACTGTCAATATTTGTTTTGATTGTAGCAACTACTACTCAGCATAAAGTCCACACTATCTTATCAGAAAACCACAGTCACTGATAGTGCAGGCAATCCAAATCTCCAAATCAGCTGAACTAAATAACTGACAAAGTAAAAGCTTTAGCTCTATTACAATTTTAAAGCAATACCTCTCATTTGTGGCATCAAACCAAACGACATCATATGTTAAATGTGTACTGATTGATTTCTTTGTTTAATGGTAACAATAAATATTTTAGCATGTTTTACTTACTTCCCCAAACGGGTATATCCTTGCTCTCAGCCTTCATGACTATCGAGGACATTGTCATTGTGACGGGGATGGCATCAAAGTAAGAGGAGTGGGGTGCCAGGGTGATAATGGGCGCTTCTGTAGGCAGAGCTCTTTGCCCTTTCACAGTTATCCAGTGAAAGCCTCCCGCAAACCACATGATCCGCATGATCACTCTTAGGATGATGTCCACCAGTCTGTAAACAAAATTTGGCATGACTTAGTGGTTTTTTTCATTCAACTTTGGATTACAAACACTAAGTATGGAGCATTTTACTTAAATATCAGTGCTGGTAATATGGGAGGTTTGTGAGAAATAATTTAGACGGGAAAAAATAAATAAAAACATTGATTCTGATAATGGTTGCTCTGAACAAAAACCCAAACCAAGTATGCATTTGCATTATACCCCTCTGAACAAGTTCATCAACATAATACCAGCTGAAAGTCTTGGGGTATGTCTTCACCATGTCTGCATATTTGAATTGTGCCATGCTTTAATTTTATTTTTGGATCACAGATTTAAAAGTAAAAAGTCTGGATGTTTTAAACTTGGCATATTGTTTTACAACCTAACTCCAGACAAATCTTTCCAAAACTTATGTATTAACTTGTCTGATTGCCATTAGTTAAATCAAGTTCAGTAATACACCCTTAAGGTCTTAATAAAACACCAAGGATTAAATGATACAAAGAACAGCTGTGACTGTTTTTATAGAACACCCAAAAAAATTATTTTTAAAACTTTTGAAACAAATAGAAACATCGGCTAGTAATGCAACAGTTTTTGCTGAGATAACATGTAATAAAGCAAAAAAAAAAAAAAAAAAGAATACATAGTTAATCTCTGCAATCCAAAAAGTTATTTCAGCTTTTGTTACATCAGTGCAAACATTTTTTCAGAGACACATTTGAGCAGCAGAGCACCTACCTTCTCCAGAGGCACTGGGGTTCAACAGTGGTCTCAGAGCGCCCCACTGAAGCAAGGAAGGCAAAAGGCCAAGCCAGTAGCATCATAAATGCTGCTATGAGCAGACGGATAGGGAATAGCGTCACCGTCATTAATCCAATCTGTTAAAGATTAAGAGGAGGGCGAAAGAAGTGTTATTCAAATGGCAATCATTACATCATGTCTTTTCAGTAGAAACTCAGATAATGGAATCAAAACTACTCTAAAATGAGAAAGTTTTTGTGATGCACCAATGCATAACCACTGGATGTTTGAAAATTGTTAGATTTTAAGGATAGATGGAGTCGTAATAACCTCGTTCCCTCAGTAAGAGAATGAAGATGGGTTGTGGGTGAGTCTTCTAGCACTGCAATGACCCAAACACAAACAGAGGGCAATCAAGTAGTGGCTCTGTAAAATCAATTTTAAGGTCCTAGCATGGCTGAGCCAGCCTTGAGACCTGATCTCAATAGAAAATCTTAGGAAAGAGCTGAATCTCTGTGTTGCCCAGTAATAGCCCCAAAGTCAGAAAGATCTGGAGATCTGTACAGGCCATAATCCCTGCTGCAGTATTTGCAAACCTGGTCATAACCTACAAGAAACAGAGTTCTGCACCAAACATTAAGCTGTATTTTATATCATACTCATTATGCGCAATAAAATAAACATTTAATTATTTCAAAAAAAAAAAACAATGTTTCATTGTGTGGATCCCAGTTTTTTAAACAATGTGTCATCTTCATTTTTTGCAAGTCAGAAAACTTGGGGAAAAAAAAAAAAAACAAAGTTAATTATTGGTGTTACAAATGTTTATTTTTCCTTGATACTGTGTCATACGTACACAGCTAACATCTTCTTATTTTGGTACACTCTAGGTGTCTCAAGTCCTTAAAATCTTAAGCATCCACATAAAAAGAAGCTTTCAGCCATGTGCTGTAAGAGAACTGACTCTTAAGAACAGGAGCAAGCACTTAATTTATTGCAACAAATATGCAATATTTCTAAAGCAAACCCTGTATTGCATAAGGATTTCAAAGTACACTGCATGCAATTTTACAAAAGCAGTTCTCACTCTTGAAAGGGGAACCAAAGCTTACATTGTTGACACGATGAAAAAAAAATTACAAAATTACATTAGTCATTTACCACTGCCCTAATGAACATCATACTTTTTTTTTGAATAATTACTGTTCAATGAATAGACCCAGAAGGTGCATTTAAATACCAGCTTTAATGACAGTGTTTCACTAATGTCACACTGTTTTAGTGAACAGCTGCACAGTTAGTTATTGTTCTGCTTTTCTTTAAATCGAGTAAAGATGCATATTTTATTCTGGTATTTTGGGCTATAAATGCAAAGCAGTTTCCTTTCTTGTCAACAACAAACACGGTGAAAGAGGTTTCCTTTTTTCAAAACTATGCTACAAAACAATCCCCTCAAAGTTACTTTGACTGGTTCATGCGTTGCATTATTGAATAGCACTCACTATGCAATTCAGACAATATAAAACAGGATCAAACAGATTTAAGACTATGAGTGCAAGTTATCCTACTGCTAAATTAAGTTTCTTACTCTTATATAACTGATTTATGTGGAAAACCAACAGAAGCATCCATAATCATACACATCTGGCATCGATGAATAGTTTCTTCCTTTGATAGAACATTTTTTTACGTATTTCACATGGAGATAAATTAGACTTTTTCATCACCGTGTAGTAAGTCTACTCGGACAAGAACAAGAGACAAGCTGAAAACACGGTAGGTTATAATTCTGCTTCAGCCTATTAGTTCAGTGGTCTTTCGTTTGCCCTTCACACATAAGAGCCTTATGGTCAAAGACTAAGTACAACTTGGACTAATCATGTCTATTCGGCTCTGCAACAATCTAACAGATCAGATGCTTCCTCCCCATTTCTGAAATTGGAAACTTTTGAGTGAAAAGAGATGGGATCAGTATTAGAGTGAACATATTTCTTACACCCATAAATATGTCACTTCAGTTTATCGGGTGATCATTTGTTAAGGCCATTATTAGTTTTAAACAACTTTGTAAGACTAGCACAATCACCAAACAAACAAAAGGTGTTGACGAAACAAATGCGTTTGCAAACTACCTGGTCTGCATGGACCTGAATTGCATAATCGCTTGTGTGTCATCAAATGTCATGGCTTTGATGTTGATCTGAAGGATCGATCTTCGCTTCAACCAAAGTTTTGAAATCGGAATATTTATCCAATTGTGGTCACAAGTCCACAAGAGTTTCTGAACAAAGGGATTTCCCTCATCTCACTTCACACCAGGGGGGGAATCCCACAACTCTGAGCAGTAGTTTATCTGTACCAGGTAAGAGATGATTCTCAGATAGGATTTTTTTTATTTTTTATGACTTAGTAAAAAGATCAAGCTGAGGTCATTCTTTTCCTCAGCTTTCTGGCTAACAAGCAACATTTCTTCACATTTACTTCCTCATTCATTTCTATGTCTTTTTAACTGTAGTTAATGTTTATTCTCACAGGAACTGTGATTACAATAAGAACTGTTACTGACTTTTTTTCTGGCTTTTACTCATCTAACTGACTAACTTTTCACATGATCCATAAAAACGTGATGTGATCTGTGTCTGACCCTCCCTAAGTTACTATCTGTAACCTGTGACAAGATACTCCCCTCCTACCTGGAATGGAAAAATAGTTTCCTTCATAAAAGACAATTTATTATAACGCTGAGCAAACATTTTGTGCAAATTCATGCAACATACAACTTAGTTGTGCTAATCTTTTTCATTTTGCGAACCATCTTGAAAAGAAACATGCAATTGCATCACTCTGCAGAGTACTGTGCTTTTCTTCTGCAGTCAGACATTTTAAACCACACGCTTGATTTCTAATCACTGTTCTCAACAACAAACTCATGACCTCACATAGATGCAAACCCTTCCCCATTTTAACTCATGTGAATTCAACAAGAAGGTCCATGTGGTATTCTTAATGATTAAACACTGCGGACTGCAGTGTCAAACTGCAGTCCGCAAGGTCCGGTGTCCTGCAGTTTTTAGATGTGCCTGCTACAAAACACTGGAATGAAATGGCTTAATTACCTCCTAGTGTAGATAAGTTCATCAAATAATTGGTAATGACCTAATTATTCTATTCAGGTGTGGTGCAGCTATTCATCTAAAAGTTGCAGGACAGTGGTCCTCCAGGACTGGAGTTTGACACTTGTAGATTAGACAGCATTTAGTTTTTAAGGAACAAATGTCATTAGTAGAATGTCCATCATCCGTGCATAATGCAGGATGTGACAGTATTTCTTCATCAAAATCTAGCGTTTCACGTTAGTAGCAACTTGTAGTACTTTTTGCAAATGTTCAACATGATTGCCAAAACGGATATAATTTTAATTATAATATATTTGCAAACATTAAACTTGACAAAAAATGTTGCATATGGTTACGCTCTATGTGAGACTTAACTATTCTGCAAAGTGCTTCTTGTTGCAATTAAGCATTTGACTGAATTTTGAGATTCAATATCCTCCCACTGACCCAACAGTGGCAGCAGTACTCAATACTGACCTTTTATATACCTTTCTACCTTTTGTTTGACATGAAGCACCTAGCCTGGCCATTGCCTTCTTACACAATTCAATTTAATTCTCATCTCTCTTCACTACTCCATAAGACCTTTCTCCAATTGAACTGGATTACTCCAGCAGGATTTTAAAAAATTGTGAACAATGACATTGATTTCTCTTCTAATTCAGAATTTTAGTCTGCCTGCAGTTTGGCAGTAGCAGTGAATAAAGCTATCAAGTCCAGGTTGGCTATGCTTCTAAATATCAAATTAACATTAACACAAGAGCCACCTGGTTCAGCTGGTATGCCTCCAGCAAGCAATTGTTTCTCCATAGCCAAGAGTCCAGACACTCTGAATGAGTGTCTGAACAAAGAGTTAGTTTGTTTGTTTTTTTTTTTATTATTATTTTTTAAGCTCTAGGCCTGTGTTATTCTACTTTCAGAGTTGGCGGAGTTGTTTACAAGCGACACAGAGGATGAAGATTTTATTGCGGTTAGTGATTTGGAGTGACACGAATGGTTTGGTAAACTTGTTAGCATGTTATTTATGCTATAGTTATTTGAATAACTTAATATGCAATAGTAACATACCAGGCACGTTCTCAGTTTGTTGTTTGTCATGTAACATCAACATACCGTGCAATTATTCAGCCTGTTGCCTCTATTCCATGTTTATTGCCTTTCAAAATGACATGTCTGTTCTTGTTGTTGGATTTATGATGTAAAGCACTTTGAAATGCCTTTTAGCTGAAATGTACTATACAAATAAAATTTGATTGATTGATTGATTGATTTTATCAAATAATTTTTTCTCAAAAATGTGACTTATTCTCCGGTGCGACTAATACATGTATTTTTCTTCTTTATTATACATTTTATGGCTGGTGCGACTTATACTCCGGAGCGACTTACAGTTTGGAAAATATGGTATGCCAACTTGACTAAGCCTTATACCATGTTATACTGTTAATCCCTCATCAAAAACATATCTGGAGTGCTGCTTTGAATCTTTTCTGCATTTCTGAGAAATCCTTTAAATGTCCTGTGGCAGCCATTCTGGGGTGCCTAAACTTTTGCTTATACAATGCAGCTCCTATTTACTCAAAGCTCTTCCTTAGAGCTACGATCTTCAACCAAGAGCACCCCTCCCCCACACCTACAACATGCTGTTCCTCTAGGCTAGCAGTGGCAGCAATGAATAAATATGTAGTGGAACTGTGCATCTGCTGATCTCATCATACAAACTATTCCTCAGACGCTCCTAATAACAGTTTAAAACAGCATCATGGAGAAGCACTGTTGTCATGACAGGATGAATGAGGAATATCTGAGTGTAGGAGATTCTTAAGAGGCCAACTTCAAGAAGGCAAACTGCTAAGTCAAATTTATTTAAAATTATTCTTGACGATATACACAACAACTTACTTGACTGTCTTAAGAAATGGCACCATGCACCCGGAAAGTACTCCTCTTTTCCCACAAACATTTTAAACCAAAAATGTGAAACATAATTTAAATCATTTTATTTAAAATTGAAAAGCAACAATTGTTACACTGTAGTAGCCAAAATAATATGTCTTGATTTCTACAATAGTAACATCTGTGACATTTGCTACTTTGAATTTGAACACTTATGGAGAGCAACAGGAAAGGTCAGTGTTGTTGAAAGTAAATGTTGAAACTCAGTCAGCCTTTCCATGTACTCATGATGAGAGCTTGGCAAAATAGTTTTAGATTTCTACCCTGACCTTGTGTAGTAGATCCTGAAATAAAAATGAGAATTTTAAGAACCACAGTTGTATATTTTTCCCATGCACTTTTAACATAAACATAAATACCCTGGAATCACAATTTCTTATCTTCTGTATTTCCTCCAATTAGCTTTACAAAAATCGCATGAGACTTGGACATGAACTTGAACTATTGGTTTTTTTGTTGTTTTTTTTTTTTTATATATTAGCCACATGACTTCAGAAAGCTCTTAGGTAACATAATGTGTTAACTTTGAAAATTTATTAAATTTTAAAATGGAATAAAGCAGAATCTGAAAAAAAAAAAAAGATTCTGAAAAACTGCAAGTCATTACATGCATCTCGAAATTACATTTGATGGCATATGTTATTTTCTCTTACTGGTAACCCAGATAAGTACTGCACGAAAATGTGTTTTAAACAGAGGGACACGAATAAATTCAAGATGATACCTGTGTTTAAATATTTTATCAATAAAAAAAGCTTCTTTCTGTATGCTGCCAAATGACATTTGATATTTGTCAATTCCAAGAAAACTTACTGATTGTGGGGAAAGCTTTTTATTAATATTTTAACATTTTGTTAATGGATAGCTTTGGTAACATAATCTGATACAACCTGCCTTTTGAGCATGTTTATGACTTTGATACAGCTCAAATGACAATGAATCTCACACACTTTTCTTAATGTTTTAATTTCTATAGTTCTCCAAAACTATAGCCATATTTTTGTCCCCAGTAACCAATCCTAAACACAATAAATAAAAGTAATGGATCACAGCAAAATCGATAATAAAAACCTGAGAACCTGTTAATAAAAAGAGGAGCTATCAGTTGTCTCTCTCTTTCTACACTCTCTTCTTTCACCAATAATCCAAGAAGACATCCCAAAACAAGTTACGAAACTGCAGTGTTTGAAAAATACATATATTTTTTTTCTTTGATAATGCCTACTGAAATGTCTTTTTGGCAGAGGCACTAGAAAAGCATGCAGCTCAGAGCAACAAGCTAGGCCCCTCCTTGACAGTGGGCCATGCTTCAGTCAACTGTATTCTACTTAAACGGTTTCCTGAGTGAAACAACTTTTTTACATAAGCCCTGATATTAAAATGAAACAACGTGGTCGCAACTCCTAACATTTATTGTCCTCTAAACTATATGAAAACCAAAACGTGTTTGAAGTAAAAGCTGAATAAAGTCACAAGATAAAAGTGACATCTATTCTGCTGGTGTTAGCCGGTTAGCTAAGACTAGCACAGCTGATTGAAAGCAAACAAGAAAAACTACCTTGCGACACAATGGTGACAACACAATCACTGTGTCGCACTCAACTGCTCCATGTCCAACAAGCAAAGCATCGTGTTAGTGTGTAGATAAGCCGTTCATACCTTTGCCTTTTCCAGTGGAGTGAATTTCAAGACGTGCACAAAAGGGTTTCTGAACGGAGGAGGTTGGTCCATTTTCTTTCCATCTCCTTCAGTCCCAAAATGTTTGCTACTCGGCAACCTCATAGTTAGAGACCGGAAGGTGAGGCTGCAGTTGGTGCTGTTTATGCCCTAAAAAGAAAACTGCCAAAAACGAAAAAAAGAGAGAGAAGCCCCTGAAAGCAAAACGCGGACTCCCCTTAACTGGCTTGGTCGGTTGCTAATTTAGACGGAGGCAGTGCCAAGCTATTAACGTTATCTCCCTTTCCTGGTCAGCATGGAGGGATAATTGTTAGCTCAAGGATTAACTGGGGATATCTGAAGTCACCAATATCTGTCTGGCTGCGCAGGTCTCCTTCCTGCACAGCCTCTTCCCCAACCAGACCTGCCCGCTAGCTCTCAATGCTAACGGAAGCGCGATACCTTTCTTGCAGCAGGGCGCCTGCGCCCGTCCACAACAGCGTTTGCCGAGCACGACCCAATGCTGCCTTCAAAATCTCCTCACATGTCGTAATTTAAAAACTCTAACGTAAAACTGTGTAATGACTACAGCAAAATGAAATATATAAAATAGAAACATGTATTTTGTAGTTAGAGGGTTAAATGAAGTTCAAGCCGTACTCATCGTAATAAGTAACATCCTGTGTTCAAATAGTAGGATTATGTAATCCTATCTTTTCGTAATTGTCTTATTAGTGCTGCTGCTCATGGCAAATAAATCCCTAACAAGGTGTAAGTTTCAAATAATCTTATAATTTTTTCCCCGTGTGGTCATTGAAGTATTTTTGTTTTTTATTTAAATTTAACCATAGCCTTCTCATATGGTGAAAATATTATGGGATTCAATAATTTAGTCATTGAATCCCATTATGCTCCTTTGTTCCTTCCTAACTTTCAGATTTTATGGTAAATTTCTACTGGATGAACTCATGTGTTGTTGGGAGTGAATCGACGTTGGTAATTTCCAGTAGTCTATGGTCAAAGTAGAAAATTTGACTGATAATGTGTTTAAAAATCCCTGATAGTTGTAGGCCACAGCAACTATCAATGTTCACATATTAAAATACATATTTCTGTTAGGTTTGCTCTTTGCATGTTTTGTGTTTACTTATGTGTAATATTTGACAATTTATTTCTACCAGAAATGTGTTTTTATTCAGCAGTGTTGGCACTGTGGATTGACTTCAGCAGTGTTGGCACTGTGGATTGACTTCGGTGTTGTAAAAGTAGTTATGTGCTGCCCTCTTGTGGCAAAATATTTGTAATATTCTGAGTAATACTCCCATTCGGAAAAAAACTCAACATTTTAAAGGCTCTCTCAAATGCTAAATAAAAAGGTAATGCTGTTTCCATTGGCAAGCCTTGACATGATTTTTACAATGTTTTATTGTAAAATGTAAACAAAATAAATAATTAAATGAATAAATAATTTTACAGTTAACTTGCATTTTCTTTACTATTAAGGATTTATTCATGTATGCATCAAAACAGATATGGATTGTATATTTATATTTACAATTTCCACATTTTTACCACTTTACAAGTGAAAATGAGAATATGTGTTTAGAGGTCTTTCAAATAATAGACCAACACAGAGCATTAAAAACAGTGGATGGAAAAGCCTACATTATTTTAGAAATGTCTTCTTATTTTAACAGTGAATTTTTTATGTAACTGTTTACATTGTAATACATTTAAAACGTGTATCATGATGTAGCGCCAAGATGACAAAATAAGAAAAAATACCATTGAACCCGCTGGTGTGAAATATTCAGGAAAATTCTAGAAAAATATGTTATTTTGTTCCTAGTATTGGAAACCCTTAATATGACCTTATAGTCATCACTGTTTTATGTCCATCTTTACTAATCTAAAATTATGCTTGACAACAGCAGCTGGAACCAACATTTAACAAGTTTCTTTCTGATGTAAAAACACAAGTAAGAAGTACAAATTACGTCAGAGTAAGATGCTCAATAAGAGTCTCTCATTTCGTTCTAACTTACATTTTCATCAGACCTTCTGGAAATTTAAAACAGGGTCGTATGAAATTAGTACTTTTAACTAGAGACAATGTGAATTAAGATCAATGCAACATAATGTAACATAACCCAAAATTAAGTGTTAAATGAGTGACACTCATTTACACTATGTTCCAGGTACATAGTGTCATTTTGAAGCTCAATCTAACAACTTCAGCCTTTTATTAAAATGCTGTATATGTGGACCATAGTTTAAATAAAAAAAAAATTACTTTATAATTTGATATTTTGAAATTAGGCTTCCATTTTTGAAGAAGCTTCTGCTCTTTCTGATGCTGAATTCTGCACCTCCATCACATCGGTGCTTCTTATTATGCCGATACAATGGTTTTTCACAGAACTGGACTGAGAAGAATCAGAACGACACTCAAGGCAATTTTAACTCAAAAAAGCAGAATTTTTATAATACCCATCTTTTAAGAATAAAACAAGTATTTAAACTCTGTTGATGTTGAGATGAATTGCATGTACACAGCAGTTTTGAAAGTTTTCCTTTTATGAGCCTATTGATTGAAGGGGATGTTTGTTCACATATGTGCTCAAGCATAGTAGGAAAAATTGGTTCGCGTGTTGAAGGCAACATTTCATCTATGACACCAAATCTCCCCCTTGTTCTTTTGTGCAATCATGTTTCTGCTTATGCTTTTTCTAAGAATGTCAAGGACAGGCAGTCGAATGCAGACATCTGTGAAAATATCCACACACACACACACACACACACACACCACACCACAAACACGCACATCCACACACACACACACACGCACACACACGCACACACACACACCCACACACACACACCACACACACACCCACACACACACACAAAAGGACCACTCTAGTTCATATTTTAATTCCGGTGTGCAACAATATGTAGCCAAAGTGCCCTGTGGGCTGACCATATCAGGTCGTGACATTTGCATTTGACAACAATGACACCAGACAGGGTTAATGCTGGAGAAAATGGAGAGATAGAGAAAAAGAGAGAAAAAAAAGGTGCCCCCCACCCTCCTCATTTCTCCTACTCTCCTTTCACGTTCCTTTTCCCTTCTTCAGTCCCATAGCCGAGGAGCTTAAATTAAAAAGGAAGAAATGCAATTTAAAGACATGGGGTAAACAATCACAAAACACTTGTTTCTAGAGGAGAGACAATTTCCTGGTGCCTTGTCCAATTTCTTATGGCCTGGAGGGCTGCCGCATGGGTTTTAACACCTGGTTCTACACCACTGATTAAAATTGTAATGCTGCTGTTGAATCAATCCATATGACATTTTGGAAAATACACAACTATCAGGACATTTTATATATTTATATATATATACAGCATTTTTTTTCCTGTTGTTTTCATTTGGAAATCGAAAGTGCCACTACTATGCCTTCCAACTATTTGAAGGGGTAAAAGTAAAGCTTAAACAGCTCAAAAAGTATAAATACGCCATAGTTATTGTACATTGTGTTAACTCATAAGCAAGAAGAAAGGTAATGCAATGTACAATAAACATTTACCTCAAACAAACAAACAAAAAGTCTAAAGATATGATCACCTCGAATTAGATAATTCTAAGCATTAAAGTACAATCTTGGTCAATCTCTTTGTACTTCATGAAGAGCTTTTTTGTCAGATGAGAGGTTTGAAGTGCAACCTTGTCTTGTTGAAAGACAAAGACATTGTCTCATGAGACAAAGAGGTTCATTCAAGGCTCACTGAAACATTTCTACCTAGTCTGCTGTAGTTTGATAACCCTGAATAACTTGCAGCTCTGAGTTTATGGTGGAATCTCTGTTACTGTATGGAAAACATCTTGAGTAGAATCCACTTGTCATTCCAGTCTTGTAAGCCATCAGGACCATGCAGATTCGTTGAAGAATAACATGTTCTTCCACTTTACAGAAATGTTTGTCAAAGAAAACCTTTCTCACTTCGCCATTAAGGGCTTTGGGATTGTAAATGCTTGCCACAAAATCACATGAAGCCATATTTATTTCTGGATTTGAACATTTTATTATTGTTGATCAGCTGAAAAACAGCCCGCCTGAATTTAAATTAGTGCTGTTGATCAATTAAAAAATTGTCATCATTTTAATCCATGCTCTTTTGCTAATTACTATTAACCCACGCTTAAGTTTGAAATGTAAAAATACATGATTTCGAAAAAAACATTTGAAAAAGTATTTTGTTGTCTCAAACCAAACATGCTTAAAGATTCTCAGTTTTCCAGGTTTTTGTATTTATTCAGGAAGGTTTACAAGAAGTAATTTGTATGAAACATTAATTTCAAAATGTTAACTATAAACTCTTTGTGTTTTGGTGGAAGAATTATTAATTCCTGCAATGTGTACATATAATCATGGTTTTATCCAAACTTACTTTAAACAGTTTTTTAAAACAAAAGTTGCTGCTGAGCACACCAGTTTGACTCTCTTCGCTCATCTTTTCACTCACGTTTACTACTCAATGTTGACTGGAGTATCTGATGGGATAACACGCTGCTGCAACAGAGAGGCTTTTATATCAAAATAGTTAATGAGATTAATATTAACATATAGAACATTTTAAATTAATCACATTGACCACCCTAATTTAAATACAGCTAATGAGGGTACTCCAGCTCTTCCCTCAGTTTTGAAGCTTTACAATGAATTATGTGAAATGTGAAATTGTAACTTTCCCCCAGTTTTCAGATTTAGATCAAAAGGCTTCAAAACAACTCAGTTATGACTTTATATTGTTCTTACCACTTGAAGCCCTTTTAATGATCAGAGCTGAATTGATTCAAGCTTTCTGTACTTATTTTGAACACGAAGCCACACAGCACTACCTTTCTGAAGCATTGAATGAAGCAGCAAATGACCACAGAGGTAGACGTAGCATATAGACATGAAATTAGGAGAATTTAGCTTCGAGCAACTCCGTGCTATCTTTGTTGACTCAGAGTTCTCATTGAAAATTTTAAGATCTGATGCAGTCTCAGATAGATGTACAACAATCTTTGTAAGCTTATTCTGATTCCTGCTTATCTTGTATCAATCAGCTGAAGGATTGCTGGTAGTTTGGTTGCAAATATATTTCGTCCATTGCTGGTTATAAACACAAATTATGCACATCTAAAACCAAAGAAGGTAAAGGGTCAAATTGAAAAGAAAAATCACAGCCTGGAATCAGGTTAAGACAAAAAACAAAGGATTTATTTATTTATTTATTTTAACCAGAGGGATTGTTTCAAAGCAGCTAGAATGAGTGAAAGGGAAAGGATGAGGGAGAAGGAGAACATGAAGAGGAAATGTTCAGATTTTTGCACCACTATTATATCAGAACAACCCCTCAGGCAAAACATCTGAACCAGAATGACAGATGAGCTGTTGTTTGCTTCATACCGCAGAAATGTTTTACCAGCCCTTGCGCCCATGTCAAT